GAGCATCGCAGGACAAGCAGAGGCTGCCTTGGCTGTCCTGCGAGAAAGCTGCACACAGCTGCAATTGCTGTACTGTTCTATGATAAGGATTGTTCGAGGAGTGGAGTGGATGGTAGTGCGTGGCTCACCAGAGTGGAGTGTCCGAGGTGGTGAGACTGTGGCAGGGCGGCCCCAATCTTGAAGTGTCAGTTAAAGTGCTGCTCTGCATGTCAGTAGGCCGTGCGGCCCCAATCGTACCAGTGGGACCTGCAGCAACAGCAGCGAGACAGGAAGCACCATCACCATCGGCAGCAGCACTCGCTCCACCACCCTAAGTAGCTGCCATCACCATCACCATCAGCAGCAGCACCAGAGCCGTCAGCTGTAGCACCAGCTTTATCAACAACAGCACCCGCCTGCACCATCGCACCCTTCCACCCCAATGGAATTCACGCTGCAGGAAAAAGATGGGTAGAGGGGGGGGAAATGGGTGGAGGGAGGGGGGGTGGTGAGCAGGTAGGGAAGGTGAATGAGGCGGGGAGAGGAAGCGAGCAAACACAAGGAGCAACGGGACAACAGGAGTCTTGAAGCAATAACGAATGCATGCATGAATTTCAAACGAGTGTGTATACGAGAGGCTGGATGGACCACAGCTGTGTTGAGCTTCGTTTCGCTTTTCAAGTGTCAGTTGGGGTGCTGCTCTGCATGCAACCGTTCCAACAGTAGTAGCACCAGCACCATCAACAGCAGTAGCACCAGCACCATCAACAGCAGCAGCCAATCGCTCCATCGCTCCCTTCCACACCCACTGAGTTCGCGCTGCTGGGATGGGATGGGTATGGGGAGGAGAGGAGTAGGTACGGAGGTGAAAGCGGCAGGGAGAGAAAGTGAGTGAGCAAACGCAGGGCACAACGGGACAGCAGGAGTATTGAAGCAATCACAGTAAACGTGAGAATGCGAAACGAGTGTGCAAACCAAAACAGTGGTTGGATGGGTTTTGCAAACCAAACCAAACGAGTGTGCCACAGCTGTACCGAGTTTTGATTTTCAAGTGATGCTCTTTGAGTGTTGCTCCTCGCGTGATGCTCTTGAGTACTCCTCTTGTCTTGGAACAAGGGCATGGGCTGTTGAGATTGAGAGTAAAGGATACGGGATGAAGGAAACTGGTCGAGGATGGAATAAAGCCCTGGAAAAGGATCAAAAGCGACAAATGAAGCAAAGGCAGGGAAAACAGGAAGAATTGAAAATTGAAAACAAGGTGGAAGGATGCAGTGAAAACAGAGAGGCGATGGTAGCCCATGGCACTAGGTTGGCGAGCTAGCGGGCAAGGGGGACGAGGTAAGAAGGAGACGCAGGCGTGAGTGTGAGTGCATTCTAGTCCGTGTGAGCTCAAGACGCCCCGGTGCCATGCACTACCATCGCCACGCGCCAGAAACCCCAAGTCAACTTTTTGCCCCTCCCATGCGGAAATGAAGTTTTGGTTACGAGCATGCGGTGAGAGAACAACGCGTTACGAGGATGAACCAAAGACAGAAAGCGGTCAGGATGGCAAGGGGGTGAGTGAGGGGATTAAGAGGTGACTTAGCAGCGGTACGACGGGTTGAGCGACAGAAGCAGCAGCAGTGGCTCCCAGCAGCAGCCCTCCCAGCAGCAGCAGCGCCAGTGGAGCTCGTTTGGCGCGTGAAGGGGTGGCGTGGACAGCAGGGCATGCAGGACGCAGGCCGTGCGTCATCCCACTGCCCTCCCTCCTGGAACAAGGGCATGGGCTGGTGAGAGGGAGAATAAAGGATACGGGATGCAGGAGGAAACTGGTCGAGGGTGGAATAAAGCCATGGAAAAGGATCACAAGCGACAAATGAAGCAAAGGCAGGGAAAACAGGAAGAATTGAAAAGTGAAAACAAGGTGGAAGGATGCAGTGAAAACAGAGAGGCGATGGTAGCCCATGGCACTAGGATGGCGAGCTAGCGGGCAAGGGGGACGAGGTAAGAAGGAGACGCGGGCGTGAGTGTGAGTGCATTCTAGTCCCCTAGGACTCTAGTGTGAGCTCAAGCCGCCCCGGTGCCATGCACTACCATCGCCACGCGCCAGAAACCCCAAGTCAACTTTTTGCCCCTCCCATGCGGAAATGAAGTTTTGGTTACGAGCATGCGGTGAGAGAACAACGCGTTACGAGAATGAACCAAAGACAGAAAGCGGTCAGGATGGCAAGGGGGTGAGTGAGGGGATTAAGAGGTGACTTAGCAGCGGTACGACGGGTTGAGCGACAGAAGCAGCAGCAGTGGCTCCCAGCAGCAGCCCTCCCAGCAGCAGCAGCGCCAGTGGAGCTCGTTTGGCGCGTGAAGGAGTGGCGTGGTCAGCAGGGCATGCAGGACGCAGGCCGTGCGTCATCCCACTGCCCTCCCTCGTGGAATAAGGGCATGGGCTGGTGAGAGGGAGAATAAAGGATACGGGATGCAGGAGGAAACTGGTCGAGGATGGAATAAAGCCATGGAAAAGGATCACAAGCGACAAACGAAGCAAAGGCAGGGAAACCTGGATGAATTGAAAATTGAAAACAAGGTGGAAGGATGCAGTGAAAACAGAGAGGCGATGGTAGCCCATGGCACTAGGTTGGCGAGCTAGCGGGCAAGGGGGACGAGGTAAGAAGGAGACGCGAGCATTCTACCCCCCTAGGACTCTAGGACGAGCTCAAGCCGCCCAAGTGCCATGTGCTACCATCGCCTTGCGGAATTGACGGTTCGGAGCTGCGTTCGCTCCCAGTGGGAGGCGCAAGGGCGGCAGGGGCAAAGGGGGCTGGGGTGGAGGAGGCGGCGGCGGGGGAGGTGGTGGTGGAGGGGGTGGAGGGGGCGGCGGCGGTGGCAGCAGTGGTGGGAGTGGTGCTGGTGGTGGGGGAGGCAGTGGCGGAGCCGGGGGTGGTGGAGGCGGCGGTGGTGGAGGTGGAGGTGGTGGTGGTGGCAGTGATGGCGGCGGTGGAGCTGGTGGAGGGCGCGGTGGAGCGGTGCAGCGTGGGGGGTTTGGCGGAGGCCACAGGCAGCAGCAGCAGCGTCCCAGCGAGTCCCAGTCGCCCTAGCAGCTACGTGAGTGGTACTCTCAGCGTGGGGGGTCTGGGGGTGGAGGTACCTGCCCGTACGTCATCCGCATAGGTGACCGCACTGGCCAGACTTGTGGGAGGTTTCACACGGCGCAGCGCTGTTTCTTTCGCCTCGACGACGCCTGGCGCGAGCAGTTTCCTGACGCCTCTGAGCTGCCCCGCTGGGCTGATCTGCTTAAGAAGGGGATTGATATCTTTGCTCTTGATTATGATGCTATCCTTGCTACTATGTATGCATTGACTATTAGTGTTGAGGGTGACTGTTACCTAAGTGTACCGCCCGACCCGGGTATAAGGACCAGTGAGGCTGCAGCTCTGGGTGCTAGTGAGTCTGCTGCTCTAGGTCCTGGTGAGGCTGCTGCCCTAGGTGCTAGTGCGTCTGCGTCTGCTGGTACCGCACCTACTGAGGCACTGCACACCTTCACACTGGACTCAAATGCTTCCCGCTGTTTCTTTCGCGACCGCACTGCCCTATAGCAGCTTCCTAGACCGGTTGCTGTCTCCCTGGCTGACCCCTCAAGGGGTCCGGTCCTTGCGACCTCCACCACTGCCCTCCCTTAACCTGCTGTCCCGTCTGGCACACTGTCGGGCCTCTACCTCCCCTCGTTCTCTACGAACTTGGTGGCGGGTTCCGCGCTCCAGGACGCGGGTGTTCACCAGTTCACCCCTGCCTATGAGCGTGTGACACACTGCATGTGTGCCCAGACGGGTCTTCACTTGGCTACCTTCACTCGGCAGCCAGGGTCGGACTTGTACACACTGACCACTGAGTCCCCTCAGGTAGCTGCGTCTGCGTCTGTGTCAGGTCAGCTATCGGCCCCCTGCTCGTGTCGCTCCTTGTCGCACAGGACTGTCCTCTGGCACCACCGCCTTGGTCACCCGTCAGTGCAGCGCCTTCGCGGCATGCACTCCAGGTACCTTGTCTCTGGTCTTCCCAGGGTTCTCCCTCCCCTCCCACCCTTGCCTGCTCCTCCCCTTCTTCCCTGTGTCGAGGGGCGGCAGCGCGCCGCTCCTCACTCTTCCTCGTTCCCTCCCACAGAGGCTCCCCTGCAGACTTTCCACTTGGACGTGTGGGGCCCCGCCCGCGTCTGGGGACAGGGCCACGAGCGGTACTTTCTGCTGGTCGTCGACGACTACACGCGCTACACCACGGTCTTCCCCTTGCGTACCAAGGGTGAGGTCTCTGATGTCTTGATCCCCTGGATCCGCGCTGCTCGTCTCCATCTCCGCGAGCGGTTCTAGTCGGACTTTCCTGTCCTACGTCTGCACTCTGACAGAGGTGGCGAGTTTTCCTCTAACCTCTTGACAGCCTACAGTGCGGAGCACGGCATCCGCCAGACGTTCACTCTCCCGGCCTCTCCGCAGCAGAATGGGGTTGCTGAGCGCCGCATTGGTCTCGTCATGGAGGTCGCTCGTACCTCCATGATCTTTGCGGCTGCCCCCCATTTCCTGTGGCCGTTTGTAGTGCAGTACGCCGCGCATCAGCTCAACCTCTGGCCCCGTGTCTCTGTTCCGGAGACCTCGCCTACCCTGCGTTGGACGGGGGAGGTTGGCCATGCGTCGGTGTTCCGAGTCTGGGGATGTCGAGCCTTTGTCCGCGATACGTCCGCGGACAAGCTCTCCTCCCGTGCCGTTCCCTGTGTCTTCCTTGGCTTTGTTCCTGACGCGCCTGGCTGGCAGTTTTACCACCCCACCTTGCGTCGTGTCTTCGCCTCTCAGGACGTCACCTTTGACGAGCCGGTACCCTTTTACCGTCTCTTCCCCTACCGCACTGCCCCGCTCCCCCCCCCCCCCCGCCGCTCTTCCTCACCCCAGGTGTCCCGTCGGTAGACCCCCTCCCTCCCCAGGGTGGTGCTCCCTCATGTGTTTCCCAGGTAGACCCGGTCGAGCCTGTCGAGGTAGCTGTTGACTCTAGTCTTGCGCGAGGTAATGCGCATGCTGAGCCTGGTGGTGCGGAGACTGGGGGTGCTGAGTCTGGGGGTGCAGAGACTGCGGGTGCTGAGCTTGGGGGTGCTGCGACTGGGGGTGCTGGGCCTAGAGGAGCAAAGGGTGGGGGTTCTGAGACTGACCGTACTGCGCCTGTTGGCGCTCCCTCTTCACAGCAGCTGCATGAGTGGTACTCCTAGAGGTACAGCCTCCGTCGTGGGGCTACTGGAGCTGGGGGGTCTACTGGAGTCGGGGCTGGTGGCCCTGCGGGTGCAGTGTCGCAGCCGGAGCCTCCCTCCCCTCAGCGACTACGTGAGTGGTACGCTCGGCGCTGCACCCTCCGGAGTGGAGCTCCTAGTGTTGAGGTACCGCCAGCTGGAGGTCCTGGTGCTACTAGAGGTCCTGGAGCTGCTGTAGGTGCTGCTGGTGCTGGTGCTGCTGGAGGTGCTGCTGGTGCTGCTGGAGGTACTGGAGCTGCTGGAGGTGCTACTGGTGCTACTGGAGGTTCTGGAGCTGCTAGAGGTGCTGCTGGTGCTGGTTCAGCTGGAGGTTCTGGTGCTGTCTTTGCTGCTTCTAGGGGCACTTCATGGCCGCGGCCGTACTTCGTTCCGCTCCTTCAGCAGGTTCTTGGTCAGCCGCCTCCTTCCAGTTCTCCTCCCTCCTTAGAGTGTCCTCTGCCTGTCCAATCGCAGTCACAGCTACCGCGTGCCTCGCCACTTCCTGGTCCTTCTCCTTACAGCGGTCTGACAGGGGGTCTTACAGAGCGCCGTGAGCCTGAGTCTCGTCCTGTGTCGCCTATGTCTCGTCATGTGTCGCCTGTGTCTTGTCCTGTGTCAACTGTTCGTGCTGCTCGCACTGGTCGTCGTGTTCCGCGTGAGCGTCCTCCGCCTGTCCCTGGCACACACTATATGACTCTGCGTCCTTCCACTGCTCCACAGCGTGTCCCTCTGCCGTCTCCTCCTGCGTCCTCTCTTCCTGTTCTTGCTGACCCGGAGTCTGACTCTCTTCGTGCTGCCAGTCCTACTGTCACGCGTTGACTGGCCACTGCTGTCAGTGACCTTTCCTTTGAGTCTGCTGCTACGTCTGCCCTAGTTGTTGAGCTTGTCGACTTTGCTGCTCGCTGTCGTCTAGACTACGCCGCGAGTCTTGTTGCTGAGTCTGAGTCTGTCTGTCCTCCGTCCGTCGGGGGTGAGTGTGCTCTAGGCACGGACGTCCTTGAGAATAGATAGGAGAACCTTGAGTGTCTTGCAACCGCTGCGCCTCATCTCGTGTCCATGCTGATTGCCCCTAAGCGAGACCCGGATGCTCCAGACATCCCGACCCCGCGCTCTTACGCTGAGGCGATCGCGGGTGAGTACTCCTCTCAGTGGCAGCCAGCCATGGACGTAGAGATGGCATCGTGGAAGTCCACAAGCACTTACGTCGACGAGGTTCCCCCTCCTGGGGCGAACATCGTTAGTGGCATGTGGATTTTCAGGGTGAAGCGGCCACCGGGTTCTCCTCCTGTCTTCAAAGCTTGTTACGTTGCTCGAGGCTTTAGTCACCGAGAGGGAGTAGACTTCTTTCAGACCTTCTCCCCCACCCCGAAGATGATCACTCTTCGGGTGCTACTATAGGTTGCTGCTCAGCGTGACTACAAGCTTCACTCTCTTGACTTCAGCACAGCTTTCTTGCAGGGCAGCCTACTCAAGGAGATCTGGCTGCGCCGCCCTCCTGGCTTTACTGGTTCGTTTCCTCCTGGTACCCAGTGGAGCCTCCGACGGTCGGTCTACGGTCTTCGCCAAGCGCCACGTGAGTGGCACGACACACTGAGGACTACTCTTGCGGCACTTGGGTTCGCGCCTTCTACTCTGACCCGTCGCTGTTTCTGCGCACCGACACTTCGCTGCCCCCGTTCTACATCCTCGTGTACGTCGACAACTTGGTCTTTGCCACTGCTGACACTGAGGCTCTCACCCACGTGAAGTCGGAGTGGCAGAAGAGACGCACGTGCACAGACCTGGGTGAAGTGTGCAGCTACCTTGGCTTGCAGATCACCTAGGACAGAGCACGCCACACCATCACACTGACTCAGTCACACATGGTGCAGCAGGTCCTTCAGCGTTTCGGCTTCACCTGGTCCTCAGCACAGGCCACTCCTCTGGCTACAGGCCACTCGCTCTCAGCTCTGCCTTCGGATGAGTCCGTAGAGCCGAGTGGTCCTTACCCACAGCTAGTTGGTTGCCTCATGTACCTGATGACTTGCACTCGTCCCCACCTAGTGTACCCTCTTGGCCTTCTGGCCCGCTACGTGGCTCCTGGTAGGCACCGAAAGGTGCACTCGGATGCTGCAAAGAGGGTATTGCGGTACTTGTGCAGTACATCGGGCATGGGGCTCGTGCTTGGAGGAGGGAGCTCAGTTGTTCTCACTGGGCACTCAGACGCTTCTTGGGTTGACGACCAGGCTACTCAGCGGTCGTCACACCTTCAGTCTTGGCTCTGGCTCAGTTTCGTGGCATTCTACGCGTTTGTCTTCAGTTCTCAGCTCCAGTTGTGAGGCTGAGATCTACACCACAGCCATGGCTGCACAGGAGTTACGCTGGCTCACCTACCTGCTGACTGATCTGGGAGAGCTGCCTCGTTCTCCTCCAGTGCTGTACGTCGACAACAAGGCTGCCATTGCATTGTGTGAGGAGCACAGACTGGAGCACAGAACGAAGCACATCGCTCTGTGTCACTTCCTGGCTCGAGAGTTGCATCAGCGTGGTCAGCTTCGTCTGCGTTACGTGGCCACTCAGGCCAACACTGCTGATATATATCAGAATCTCAACCACTAGACCATTGGGATAAAAGGGCTTGTTAAGTAGCAGGTTAGTGCGCCCATAACCCCCCAGGCCAACATGCCTGTAACCCTTCCCTAGGATCAATCGTGGATCACCAGTGGACCTCTGACACCCCCCCGCACTAGGATGCCCGAAGTGCACACACTGGGATTCGAACGCGAAACCTTCGCTCTGAGACCATGTCAGAATCCCAACCACTAGACCATTGGGATAAAAGGGCTTGTTAAGTAGCGGGTCAGTGCGCCCATAACCTCCAGGCCAGCATGCCTGTAACCCTTCCCTAGGATCAATCGGGGATCACTAGTGGACCTCTGACAATATATTGACCAAGGCACTTCAGTCTGGTGATCATCAGCGTTTCTGCACTTTGCTAGGGCTTGTGCCCGCTTTTCCTCACGTATTGTAGACTTTGCCTGTACTGTGGTCTATATATATATATACCTGCATGCTTGCTAGATATAGATCATTGTGATGCTTGTGCTACATATATGCCTCTACATGTGAACTGGCCTTGTGGTCCTTTGCTTGTGCTCAGAGTGTGTGGTGACGTTGTGATCCACCCTGAGCTTGCTTTGTCTTTCTTGACTGGTTCTGTGACCCCTTGCTCTCCCTCACTTGGCCTATGGGGGTGTGTCAAACATTATATATGTTTCTGTTGTGTAGGCTACAGTGGGTTAGCCTTTAAGGGGTACACTTCTCTAGGGTCTCCTACTTGTACTCCAACATCTTTCTAGTTCAACACTTCTTGATTCTGACATACACGATCGCGAAATGCTTGCGATCGTGCACGCGTTCAAAGTATGGCGCTGTTACTTGACTGGCGCGGATGTGACCGTATGGACGGATCACAAATCAGTACAGTACCTTCGCGCACAGCCACACCTCAACCCACGACAGATTCGCTGGCTCGATTTCCTTTAGTCCAACATTCACTACACGGTCACTTACAAAAAGGGAGTCTCGAACATCGCCGATGCACTGACCCGCCCCACTGCCCATATCCACGCAATACTACTCGCCCAGACAAGCCCACTACTGACAGGCCTATTTACCCATGGGTACCAAGCAGATCCATTCTTCACTGGAGGAAATTCGCAGCAGTTCGCAGCAGCAAGGGGAGTCTATTACGTAAAAGCCAGGACTGACCGCATTTGGGTACCTGGGTAAACACTGCTACAGGAATTACTATTACAGGAGGCACACGACGGAGTCACCTCGGGGCATTTCGGAGTAGAAAAAACACGGCAGCAGCTCCAGCGGTACTATTACTGGCCCAAAATGTTGACCGACGTACAACGACACGTGGCATCGTGTCCCACTTGTCAGCTCATGAAATCATCACGACAGCGGCCGGCGGGATAGTTGCAGCCGATACCACCCCAAGAGCGTGCTTGATAGCAGGTGACGATGGACTTCGTCACGGGGTTACCGGCCAGGGCGAGTGGGAACGACGCGATCCTGGTCGTCGTCGATCGACTGACGAAAATGACACACTTCGCAGCCTGCAAAAAATCAATTACAGCCGAAGAAACAGCACGCCTCTTCATCTCTACCGTCGTTCGACTGCACGGGATATCAGTTGCGATCATCAGCGACCGCGACACGAAATTCACCAGCAACTTCTGGCGGAACCTGTGGCGGCAGTTCGGCGCGCGTCTGCAGTTCAGTTCATCATACCACCCCGAAACCGACGGACAGACAGAACGGACAAATCAGACCATGGAACAGCTCATCAGGGCCACGTGTGACGACCCGACCACGTGGGAATAGGAACTGCCACTAATCGAATTCGTATACAACAACTCGCCATCCGCCACGACCCAACAGTCACAATTTTACCTAAATTACGGGCAAGACCCGACAGTACCCATGACCCCGAATCCCGACAACCCAGTACCACGAGCACAACAGTTCACCGAAATATTACAAGTAGCACGGACCCGGGCAGCAGACGCAATAAAAAAATCGAACATCATCGCTAAATGCAACGCCGACCGCCACCGCAGACCTGTCACGTACCAGCCCGACGACCTAGTTTTACTTGACACTCAGAACCTCCGACTGCCCATCACCCCGAAACTCCGCCCCCGATACTGCGGGCCATTTCGCATAAGCCACATGATTACACTTGTCACCGCCCACCACCTCCTCCCTGCTGACTGGTACGTCAGCCCCTCATTCCACGTCAGCCTGCTTCGCCCTTACGTCCCGTCCACGAGCCAACTGCCACGCAACCGCCCAGCCAGCATGACAAGACCACCAACTGAACCAATCATCACCCCCGAGAAAATCCTGAGTCACAGAGTTCGCGACCCTCGAGGAGCCCGAAGGATCGAGTTCTTGCTCCGCTGGAAGGACCGTACACCCACCGAATACAATTGGGTTCCCCTGGACAGAATCGAAAACCACCCCGTCCTCACCGAGTATTTGCGCAGCCGAAATTTCAGGGATGTACACGCACTTTCGTAAGGAGGACCTCCTTAGGGGGGGGGGGGGGGGGTAGTGTAAGGAAAATTCTTTTTCCTTACTTCGCGTCCCCGCTCAGCGCGTACACCATTGTAGTACCACAGTGAGCACCGTTACCACTCGCAACCCTCACATCGACAATCCTCCCGCCACCTTCGCACGTCGCACCCCGACCTCACGGCTCGGCAGGTACGGTAACCCGCGCTCCGGGCCTCCGCTTCGACACTTTTCCCAACCTCGGTCCCAGGCCTGTCACGCGACAACCACAGTCCATTACCGTTACCACTGTAGTTTTGCTATATAGCCTTCGCTCATGCCGTCGCTCATTGTACTCTTGCTTCGATAGTGCAATTCTCGTTCGTTCACTCAATTGCACTCGTAACAAATATCATGAAAACAACACTGCTTGTAATGGCAATGAAGTGGTAAACACTCTTCTCCAGGGGCAGAAGCCATTTGGCCTCCACCCACGATTTCGTTTGAAATTCAAAAGGTTTTACTTCCCGCCCACCTATCCACCCTATTCTAGTTGGATGAGTGCACTCATCCATCTGAGCGTCTCTACACTTCACTACGCAAGCAACTGGCTCTCCCTCATACGAAGATCACTTCTAGCCGAGCACAGGGGTGTGCAGTCACATGCGCCACTACCTGAGACAAGTTCCGGAACCACGCCTCACCCCACAACGCCTCTCTCTGCGTCGAACCCGCCGGGTATATCCTGTAGATCTTTAAAGCCCATGCCTTCTCATCCCCTCCGAGCGACGCCGGCCGCTTCCCCACCCAAACCGGCCGGTGCGTCTTTTTCTGAAAACTCCGTCTTATCGCTAATGTGAGTCCTCTTAGGGTGAGGTGGTCACTGCGCAGGAACACTGATGTGAAGTGGAACGTTCCCCGTTCTCTCACATACAGGTGGTATACCACCAGCTTCTCCCCTTCCCGCTTCCCTGGCGCCTCGCACCGGCACGGGCGGCGGGTTTTGGCAGCATCCAGGTCCTTTCTCCGGATTCGGTCGGCGAGGAAGATACAGAGGCGGCAAGAGGAGTGCACAGCTGATAGATCCATATTAGCGATAAATGCCTGGGAAGGCCCGTCTTTCTTCCACGCTAGCATCTCATCATATGCCGTCTGGTTACCAGCGAGCGTAACCATCTGCTGCGCGACCCGTGGCACATCCTCCAAAGATTTGATTTCGAGATAGGAGTTCGGGGAAGGGGCGAAATTGGCGATGTTGGGGGCGCCGATGACGACGGGGATGGAGCCGGCAACGAGGCACTGCCAGTACTTCTCAGTGACGTAGTCGCCTTCGCAGGTGTTTTCGAACGCGAAGGAGAACAAGTGCTGTGCCAGCACGGGGAGTTTGTCGGTTTCGTATGGCATGTTGTTGAGACAGCGACCGTACGAATGCACCTCCATGTGCCGACTCAACTCCTTTACTGCCTGGTGATGAAGGGAAAAGGGAGAGGAGGAGGGGAGAGAGGGGAGGGGAGAGGGGGAGGGGAGAAGAGGGGGGGGGGGGGGTGTGAGAAGTGGGAGGGAGGAATGCAAAGCACTGCCAGTACTTCTCAGTTAAGTAGTCGCCTTCACAGGTGTTTTCGAAAGCGAGGGAGAAGAAGTGCTGTGCCAGCACGGGGAGTTTGTCAGATTCGTATGGCATGTTGTTGAGGCAGCAGCCATATGAGTGGACTTCCATGTGTTGACTCAGCTCTTTTACAGCCTGGGATAAGGGGAGGAAAGAGGGAGGAGAGGAGAGGAGAGGTGGGGGCTGTGAGACACTGCCAGTATTTTCCAGTGACATACTCGGCTCGGCTCCGCACCACAGGTGTTCTCAAAGGCGAGGGAGAAGCGATAGCATGCGAGCACGGGCAGCTTGTCAGGTTCATGCGGCATGTTGTTGAGACAGCGGTCGTGCCAAGTGTAGAGAGGGTGCTTTTGGGACGTCTCAAAAACTCCCTCTCTACAAAGAAGTGATAGCATGCGAGCACGGGCAGCTTGTCGGGTTCATGCGGCATGTTGTTGAGACAGCGGTCGTACGAAGGCACCTCCATGTGCCAACTGAGCTCCTTCACTGCCTGGATATGAGGATGGGTGGGGGGGCACTGGCAGGACGGTAGGGGAGAATGGCTGTGAGGCACTGCCAGAGCATTCTAGTGGCAGCTTGTCAGGTTCATGCGGCATGTTGTTGAGATGAGACAGTGGTCGTGCGAATGCATCTCCATGTGCCGACTCAACTGCTTCACAGCCTGGTGATGGGATTGGCACGGGAAGAGAAGGCAGCGATTGTGAGATGTGGATGACGATGCGCAACACTCGGCAGAGATTTGGGATTTCTGCAGAGTGACACATTGAGCCTGAAGTTGATCAAGGCAGAAACGGGAGCAGGAGGAGCGACGTGGAGAGGAGTGGCGAGGTGTAGAGAGGGGTGGAGGTTGTGGAGAGAAGTGGAGAGGAGTGGAGTGGGTTGGGAATGGCATCTGACCTCGAGCCTGAAGTTGTTGGCATGGCAGTTGCTGATGAAGGCAGCAGCGAGAGCGGAGGCGGTTTTGTTGACGGGGGGGCGCATGACATGATACTCCTCCCATGACCCGTACTGCACTGGCACATCTGAGTCATAATGCACTGTCATCACCACCTGTTGGGGTTGTGGTAGGTGTGGAGGGGGAATGGGGGAATAAGGAGGGATGTAAGGAGGGCGCATGACATCATACTCCTCCCACGAGCCATAGTGCACTGTCATGCACGTCAGAGTCACAGTGCACTGTCATCACCACCTGGAGAGGGAGTGAGTGAATGAGGGAGAGAGGGCATGAGGAAGGACTAAGCGGGGCGCATGACATGACATCATACTCCTCCCACGACCTGTACTGCACGAGGACGTCTGAGTCGTAGTGCACTGTCATCGCCACCCGGAGAGATGGGAAGAGAGGCAAGAGAGCAGGAGGGGAAAGGCTGGGCGAGTGTGGGCGCATGACATCATACTCCTCCCATGATCGGTACTGCACTGCACTGGCACATGTGAATCGTAATGCACTGTCATCACCACCACCTGGAGAGGAGTGCCGATTGTTTGACCCAAGGAAGCGAGGTAGAGAGGTAGTGAGGTAGTGAGGTAGTGAGGAGTGTGTGGGTGAGGGAGTGAGAGTGGATATGAAACGGGCATGTCACATCTCCCACGACCTATACTGCACTGCTGCTTGCTTGCTCCCCACGTTACCCCACCACAACCCTCCTCACTACACCCCACTCCTCACACTCACAGCATGATTTCTGTGCGCCCAGGCCGGGTCGTTGCTCCGGTAGTACCGCCCCCTTCTCCATGGATTGCAGCACCACTGCTCGCTTGCGTATGAAATCCCCACTGCACCCCACAGCACCCCACTGCACCCCACTGCACCCCACTGCAACCTACTCAACCCTCTCACTCACAGCATGATCCCTGTGCGCCCATGCGGGGTCGTTGCTCTTGTAGTACCCTCGGGGCTCCATGGATCGCAGCACCGCCTTGTGCCGAGGCACGCCGCCCGCCAGGCTTGCGTCCAGCTGGGATGGGCGGCGCTTGCCGACCAGCTCGCACGGCACGTCGCATGGGTACTTGCGGATCTGATTTTGGGTGGGGGGAGAGGGGAAGGGGGAATAGAAGGGGATGGGAAGAAGATGAGAAGGGGCAATGGAAGGGGATAAGTTTGGGGGGAGAGGAGAAAGGGGAATGGAGGGGAGGGGGGGGGAGGAGGAGAAGGGGCACAAAGGGGATGAGGGGGGGAGTGAGGGGGGAACCAGGGGAAAGAGGGCAGGAAAGTAGTTTCTGACCAGCTTGCACGGCACGTCGCATGGGTGCCTGCGGTATGATTATAGGGGGAGGAAGAGGGGAAGTTGGGGGAAATGGGGGTGGGGGAGTGAATGGGGGACCAGGGGAAAAGTGCACCGAGCAGATTGGTTTCCTTCTGGCCAGCTCGCACGGCACGTCATTCTGAACCTCGCAACACCCAAATTACTCAACAGTAGTTAACGTGGGAAAATAGGTTTGGGAAAGCAGAGATTTGAGGTTTGGAAACCTGCCCTAAACCTTTCTTTCCCGAAACCAGTAGAAGCGAGACACAAACTGGCCCCAGTTTCTGAAGGCCCCTTTGTAATTCAGGGGCTGAGCTTTAAAGATCACTTGAACGTCCCTCTGAACGTCCCTCGGAACGTCACTTCAAGCCGGACTGTATAGAAATTTCCCCCCATCCCAAGAAGAATAGCATGCAACGCACTCACCTCGTACGCCATCACAGTAATCAGCTGCTTCCCATGGGTGGTTGGACTTGGACGTACCTCGTACGCCATCACAGTAATTGGCTGCTTCTCAAAGTCCCGCCCAAACGCCACGTCATCAGCCTCTTGCAGCCACGAGCGACACGTCAGCCCGTCAGGAGCGCCCTGGAGTGGGGACCACTCTGACGGCTCGTCCAATGGGGACTGCCAAACCGGCTCCCCATCCCCCTCCCCCTCCTCCTCCCCTTCCCCCGCGCCCCCTTCCCCCCTTCCCCCTGTCCCCGTTCCGCCCTCCGCCATTTCCCCCTCGTCCATCCCCATATCGTCTCCACTCCCCTTTAAGGACATGCCCCCCCCTCCGCCTTCCCCCCCCTTCTCACCCCCCCCTTCCCCGTCGGCCCTCCCCGCGCCAGCCTTACCCTCTCCACTCCCCCTATCCTCGTCCGCCTCCCCTTCCCCCCTCCTCCCCCGAGCGTCGTCCGTCCCCTTACCGCGCCACGTGTCCTCGTCTACAATCACCTCCTGTCCGCTCTGCGTCCCGTCCACCATCCAATCATCATCGCCGCTTCTCAGCTCCATGCCTTTCCGCTCCGCCTCTTCCCCCCCGCCTCCCCCGGTCCCCCCCCTCTCCTCATCCACTATCAGCGGCCGAGTCGTCTGCGTCCCATCCACCATCCAATCATCGTCGCCACTCCTAAACTCCACGCCCTTCCGCTCCGCCTCCTCCCCCCCGCTTCCCCCGCGCCCTGCGCTCTCCTCATCCACTATCAGGGGTCGAGTCGTCTTAGTCCCGTCCACCATCCAATCATCATCGCCACTCCTAAACTCTACGCCTTTCCGAGTCTCTTCGCCCGGCTCCGAGTCGTCGTTTGCGTTGATGCCGCCGCCAGCGAATTTCCGCACCCACTTGCGCTCGTGGCTCCCGTACCCGGCGGCGCCACGCGAAGCTTCGTAGGTCCGCGGGCCGCCGAGGTGAATCGAATCCGCGTCGACATCCCGCTGCGCGTTTACCGCGCCGCTCGCGCTGAACAGCTTCGTCAAATCGTGGCCGTTTGATTGGCTCTGAGCGGCCGTCGCGGCGCTCTGCCGCTGCGCGTCAGATCGCGGGGAGAATTTAAGCTTAAGAATATAAAGACCTTGTGCGACGACGAGTAGCAGCAGCAAGCGGCCGCACAGCTGGCCGCCGCCGCCGCCGCCACGCCCTGGCGCGCCTCGGTGGTGCGACAGTGCAGATGTGCCTCTGTGCGCCTGTGCGACGGCACGATGGTGCTGCGACGACGGGCGATTGGATCGCGACATGTGTGCGACCACAGCGAGCAGCAAGGTGTTACGATTGAGCGCGTCCTCTCATCTTCAGGTGAAACTGAGGTCGTGGCATCTGGAAGTTATGGAGTCGGTTGGCAGGGGGGACGCCCGACTGAATCTAGGAATTGCAGCAGCAGATTTTATCTGAAGGTGAACGAGAGAAACCGTTTTCTAGGTTGCTCGATTTAGATGTCTCAGATGAATATCGAAGACCACATGACAAACCTATAACAGAGCTATCATATAAAGTACAATCATGCAACTCAATCTAATCAAACAGATGTTTAAATTAATAGCTACTTACAGACAAGTGTTATTCCAACGAGTATGGTACGCCTAGACAATTGTGGACTTTAATGAATCACAATTTCATGAATCGAACTAATGATCACCTTTCTGGATGATCAGGATTCAGGACTGACAAAACTCATGCCACCAGCCATGAGTGATAATGCAAGCAGCGGCCATGGGTCATGATGCAGGCAGCAGCTATGAGTGATAATGCAGGCAGTTCAGACCACCCAAGCACCAGCCAGATACCCTTCAACCTAGCCACTATGCACACCTCTCCAGCGACCCAATCCAGAGCAATGCGCAGCTGCCCGCCACGAAGCAACATTCTTCTGCTCAACTGCTCCCAGCAACCCCCAGCTGCCCAACGTGGAGCCAAGCCAGCCAGCTGCTCAAGCAGCAGCCTCGACCTGAATGGACGACTAGCTCTCACCGCTCTTGGCGCATTCCCTCTCCCCCAGCGCCGCCCTCAGTCTGCTCCGCAGCTCCCCACTCAGCCTCAGCGATTCCGCCACGCTCTCCGATTGCCACCCTTCCTCGATCTTGCCTGGCGTCGCGCCGGCGGAACCAGCGGACGCCGACTGCGCCACTCTTTCCGCCAGAGTTGCGCGGATTGCGCCCGCGCTGTCCCCCACGCCTGCGCCCGCGCCTTCTTCGCTGCTGCGCGCGCGGATCGCGCCTGCATCCGCGGGCCCCGGAAGCAACCCTGCGCGCACGAGCAGCGCCTCCTTGGCGGCGTCCGAGAACAGCTTCGCCGCCACGCCGCTGCGCCGTTCTGCCAGCTCGGCGCGCAGCTGTTGCGCGGGCGTCAGCGCCCGCAGGGGAGTCTGCTGGGCGCCGATTGATGGCGTGGCGCTCGAAGAGGGGGATACCCCTTGCCCAACGCAGGAAGGAGAGTTTTCCGAAAGGCTCACGACGCGCGAAGGGGAGGGGGGACGCGCAGCTTGCGCCGATGAAGGGGTGCGGAGCGCAGAGGTGGAAGAGGCGGGGGAGGACACGGAGACTGCGCTCGCGCGATGCGTGGGTCGGCGCACACGAGACAGCCGCGGAACGGAGGGGGGGCTTCCGCCAGTGGTATCCGCGCTGGCGGCGGGCGGGGAAAGCGCGGAGGACCTTTGCGGGGAAGACACAATCTCAGAGCCGGAACCCTCGTTGCCGAGCGGAAGCAGCCCCACGCTTGAGGCCTGCGACGCGGTAGACTCCTTCTGCGGCGACTGTGCGACGGCTGGCGACTGGTTCTGCGACTGCGCGTTGGGCGACAGGAGAGTGAAGCCGTCAAGCCCCGCCTGCTTGAGAAGTGCGTCGCCCGAGTTGGCGGCGTCCGCCGGGGGGTTCGAGCGCGACCACGGCAGCACCTCGCTGAACAGCCGCTGCCCCGATAGCAGATCCTGAATCAACGAAAACGCTCCGGCAGATGACCCGGCGCCGGAAGAGGCGGAGGTGACGGAGGACGCGGGTTGCTGGTTCTCCGCGTTCGACGGCGAGGTTGGCGCTGGCGCCTTGGAGCCGTGAAGTTCAGGAGAAGAAGGGGTGGTGGAGGGCGTGGGTTGCGTGACCGAGTCGTACATCTTGCGGATGGTAGGCGGCTCGTACGCGCGGATACCGCGGCCGCTGATGAGACCCGCGTGCTCTCTGTCCTCCTGCTCGTGCATGTGGTGCAGCTGGAAAGACAGCTGCATATCCTCCTGCTTTATATTCTGGAACCGCTCCCTGATCATGGCGATGTCTGCTTTAAATTCCGCGAGTTCCGCTTTTCGCCTGCGGCGGTCCGCGTCGCTGACGGTTAAGAGGGTCATTGGTGACTGCCTGGTTTGCTGCGGTTCGATATCCACTAGGAGGCTAGATTAGGACGAGAAACTAGGACGATGTTGTAGCTACTGCACTAGGAGTGACGTGACAACGGGACTACGTAACGACAATATTGGGAAGATGGAAGTACAACTTGGGAGAGCAAGTGTCTGGTGGATCACCAAGGGCTGGGTTTGACTGGCACAGAGGAAAGCACAGAAGAGCAGCAGAGCCAGTGGACGAGGCGAGGAAAATGACAGTGACGAGCAGTGACGAGCAGAGCACAGCAGGAGGTTCTGCTGGTTTGGGATGGATTTGGCTCGGTGAAGTGGAGTGCTCTGCATAACACGAAAGTTGGGGTCGTTGATGAGATTGCATTGGTGGGGAGGGAATACTGGGGATGGTCGCGAGGGGAGCACGAAGGGCGGCGCTGGAGCAACAGCGACTCGAGAGGTTGATGTGGGCGACTCGTGATCCGACGGCGACGTGTTTTGGATGGGTTGGCATTGAATAGCATGGATGGGGGAACTGACGGTCAGCAGCGCAGTTGGCGGGAAGCGTGGGAGGAACACTTCTTCGATATGGGTGTGCTTCGGCTGAACCTAGAAAGCCTGTAATTTCATCAACTTACCAGATTGTATCTAGGTGTTTTACCCATTGTACATTTCTCAAGCGTGGTTCATATTGAACAATCAATACCGAGTACGGATCCTTTTGGGACCCTGAAAAGGCGCGCTTATTGCGCCCCTTCTCTAGCACGTTCCGTGGGGACGGCACACACGCAGATGCGACGACGAACCTAGCCGATCATCTCTATGCTGATCCTCCTAGCTTAGTGGTGGCGAGCCGTGTATGTGACACTAGCGCCTCGTCGCGGTTGTCTTCACTAATCCGTTATCGTTTGTTTGTTTTTCGCTTGTCACGCTGCTGGTGTGCCCCCATTCCCCATGGCGCAAGCATTGAAGCTCTTCCATGCAGCTCGGCGCGCTGCATCCCGCGCAGCCGATGCGGGCCCATCACCGCTTTCCGCCTTCCGCAATAACCCGTCCTCCCCGCTCCCTGCCTTCCGCAACCCACTGCCCTCTCCGCTTCTACCGCCTCGCCTTCCTGCGCCTAGCGCGGGCAGCCCCCTCACCGCCAACCCGTGCGCGCCCCTGACCGATCACGCTTTGCGCGCGCGACATCCCCCCGCACCAGTCGCAGAGCTTGCTTCCAATCGCCTCCGCGCCGCCATTACCGCCTCGTTCGCCGCTGCGCCAGTTCTCTCCTCCACCAACCCACCACCCACCGCTGCCCACACCGTTCCCGCCGTCCGCCACTTTCTCGCCGCGACTGCGCCGTCCCCCGCTCCATCCCTTCCGCCACCACCCGCCGTGCGCAGCCGCGCAGCTGCAGCCACTGGCGGAACGAGAGGAGTGTCAGGGGTCACTGGAACCGCAGGCGGGGGAGGAGCGCAGGTCAGGGGGATGAGCGGGGGAAGCGGGGGGAGCGGGGGGATCGGGGGGATGGGGGGAAGCGGGGGGAGCATCTATGTGAGATCTACGCGGGAGCCAAGCGGGCTGGCATCCGTGCCGCTGGTGCCGCTCGTTCTCGGTCTAGCTGGCGCCATCCCATTCGTCGCCCTCGCGCCGCCCATATGCTCCCTCATTCCTCTCCCTGTCAGTACTCCCCTTCTCTCTTGCATCCCCTTTCCTTCTCTCTTGCATCCCCTTTCCTTCTCTCTTGCATCCCCTTTCCTTATCTCTTGCATCTCCTTTCCTTCTCTCTTGCATCCCCTTTCCTTCTCTCTTGCATCCCCTTTCCTTCTCTCTTGCATCCCCTTTCCTTCTCTCTTGCATCCCCTTTCCTTCTCTCTCGCATCCCCTTTCCTTCTCTCTTGCATCCCCTTTCCTTCTCTCTTGCATCCCCTTTCCTTCTCTCTTGCATCCCCTTTCCTTCTCTCTTGCATCCCCTTTCCTTCTCTCTTGCATCCCCTTCCCTTCTCTCTTGCATCCCCTTTCCTTCTCTCTCGCATCCCCTTTCCTTCTCTCTTGCATCCCCTTTCCTTCTCTCTTGCATCCCCTTTCCTTCTCTCCTCCCTCGCCCCTCATGCTCCCTCGTTGTCCCTATTCCTATCCTCCCACCCATCACAATCACTCTACGGCCACACACCCGCTCGGGCCTTAGGCCCTTTCTCTCTCACCCCATTCCCACCCCTTTCCCCTCACTTTCCCCCTTTCCTCCCCTTCCCCCCCTTCTCCCCGCCCTTAACCCACCCCTTGCCCCAACGGTGCGACTAGGAGCTGGTGGCGGGGCAGCCAGCAGCAGCGCAGGCGCCAGGCGGCATACGGGGCAGCTATTCTAGCCCTTTCTAAAAACTTCCTGTTATTTTTTTTTCTCCCATTGTCCCCCACGCGAGCAGGAGCTGCTGGCAACGCAGCCAGCAGCAGCGCAGGCGGCGTACGGGGCAGCCATCCTCGCTTTCCTGGGGGGCCCGCACTGGGGGCTTGCCATGGCCCGATACGCCGCCAGTCAGTGGCCGCCCCTTGCTTCCCCTCCCCTGCTGCCTGCTCTCCTCCGACTGTCGCTGCCCTCCTCCCCCTGCTGCCTGCCCTCCTCCCCCTGCTGCCTGCCCTCCTCCCCCTGCTGCCTGCCCTCCTTCTCCTTGCTGCTCCTTTCTGCCCCTGTCTTTCGCACTGCTGCCACATGTGCCACCGCTGTCAATGTTCCCAACCTCCTCTTTGTACGTCACTTGGTCCACGCGCGCTCCTTGGTCCACGCGCGCGCCTTGGTCCATGTGCGCACCTTGGTCCACGCGCGCACCTTGGTCCACGCACGCGCCTTGGTCCACGCACACCATGGTTTACGCGCGCGCCTCGGTCCACGCGCGCGCCTTGGTCCACGCGCGCGCCTTGGTCCACGCGCCTCACCGCCTCCCTCCTCTCTTCTCCTCTCTCCTCCCGTTCTCACCCAACCCCATGCACCACACACAGCCACGTCAGAGGCGAGTCTAGGCAACTTCTCAGTCGCAGCTGCCCGGTGAGTGCTATGCGGTCTTTTGTGGTTCAGTGCGGTGCAGTGAGTTCTGTGCAATGAGCGCTGTGCGGTATCCTCCATCTCAGCCGTCCATCTCTCAAACGGTCCTTTGTATTGATCCGAGGGGGTACAAATATGCAGGTCTATTCGAAATAACAGCAATCCTCCTGTAACCCCCATCATCCCTTAGCGTTCCTCTACCCCTCTGGTGTGTGGAGGTCGGTCGTCCCCCTGGTGCAGCGGCCACGGGTCCGCTCGCATCTGGGTGTGTGCCGCCTCGATCCCAGCCCTGGCCTTGGTGTGCAGAACTCTCTAACCTTAATCTCAGCCGTCCATTGCTCTGCCCATATCTACCATCATCGCACGGCAGGTACACATGGAGTGTGGCGCCATCCCTGGCTGCATGGGTAGCGCTGCTGCTGCCAGATGGGCCCAAGTTCGCCCTCCTGCTCTCCTCTTTCCTCCTTGTACGCCCTCCAACCCCCCTTCGCCCTCTGCTCTACTCACTTCTCCCTTGGTCCACGTGTCCTACGTGCGAACTATCATGCTCCAATCCATTCTCAGCTTCCACCATTTGCAATCTAGATCTGCTCTTACAAACACAATCTTAATGATATGTGTCTGCAGGTCTGCGCATCCCAGCTGGTCCCTTTGCGTTCTCTCTGTGTGTGAGCAGGTGTTGGGTGTCGACACAGTCTTTGTCCGCATGGCATTAGTGCCTGCATGGTACGCTCCTTCCTGCCAATCTACATCCATGCAGCTTCATTTCCATCCCATGCTGCAATCTTCCATGCTGAATTCTTCCATAACAGCATATGCCCATTCCACAGCAGCATAACATGCCCGTCTCTGACATATGCTCCCGCTCTCGATCATCCCCTGCCTGCCAACCCTGCCACCCCTGCCACCCCCTGCAACCCATGCGACCCCTGTCCCCCTGCAACCCCTGTCCCCCTGCCATTCCCACCAGGTATCTGCCTCTCCGAGTGCTGCTCTCCTCCATTGCTCTTCTCAGCCTCGCCGCCACCGCATTCACCGTCGTAACTGGCACTGCCATCTCACAACCATCTCCTCAATCCACTGTCATCTCCCAATCAACCCCTCCTGCTACTCACTCAACTGCGGTGCCCTCACCCGCGGATCAACAGCCCGTTCACTCCTCTCACCCCTCATCCTCTCAACCCTCGTCCTCCCAACCCTCATCCACCCATCCTTCAACCTTCGAATCCTATCCCTCAGAAAAGCAGTAACTTGCACGTGTAGTGTGTGGGGGGGATGGGCAGGTCCCTCTCAGAGTGCTTAGCATCAGCTCGTGCTCGAGTCAAAACAGGGAGGTCTGAACAGGACGCATCATTTCTGTTCAATCAAAACATTATAATTTTTAAACACATTGATGTTTTTCAAAATTGTGTATTGTGAAAGCGAAGCTGACTGTACCGAATATTTGGCAGCGTCGAAGCGCGCTAAACGCCCTTCTCCAACTACAAAAACCGTGGGTTGGAGTTCATTCCCTCCACCCACGTTTCTCGTTTTCCAACGGCTCAATCAACATCCCCACCACCCACCCCGGACCAACTACAAGACCACAGCTGCTTGGACGGACGACTCCATAGCTAGTAATATTTGCATGTACTAGCATGTGTTTACGAACGATGCATATGTTGTAATAAGCCAGTTGCAATGAGAACGATGCCAAATTATAAGGACAAGAAAGCAAGCTTTCTCAATAAGGAAGTTAACATCATCCTGCGGTATCCTTGTATTTAGCTGCATACTTCTCAGTCAGCACAAACAACCGTGCAATTTGTGTCATCTCAAGTGCATATAAGTGGTCCTGAGCCTAAGCCATGTTAGTGTGTGAGGAAACAACAATAACAGATGACAATATCTAAAATACCTTGTACAGTACTACAAAGCCCACCCCTCGTGCATTGGAATAAACACTCTATTAGTGCTCATTCCAAACCACACCAAGCCAGATGTCCACAGTACAGCTCGTGTTGATTCCCAAGAGGCATGTTCACCAAATGATGGCTGCCTTAGATGCACAGTCTCAGCTGACTTTAGACTTGGAAGGGGCTTTTCGCTTCCTGGATGCGAGCTTTGCTGCAGAGCTGCGCATCCCAAGGTAAACAAGTAGGGCTCCCACCAGAGAAAGATTCTGCAATGGTGCCACGAGGGAGAGGAAGAGCTGACTAGCGTAAAAATCAAACATACGCGTGATTCGATTGCTGAGGGAGCAAAACAAGAGAAGACAGCTTGGCTGCAGATGTGCGTGCCAGGTGAACAGCAGGGCTCGGAACCGATATAGGTTCTGCACGGCACAGACATCATGGATGACGAACAGGCATCATGGATGACAAACAGGCATCATGGATGCAACCTATGGAACGAGTCCTGCATACTCGCTGGAGAAAAAAGGGCGAAAGGGGAGGGGAGGAGGGGTCAGATGAATCCAGGCGGAGGTAAGGGTTTAGCATGGTAAAAAAAAAATGGAAACATGAAAAGTTTACCTTAAGGAACTGGATAAACTCGTGGATGTATTCCGCACTTTCAGGCTTGAAGTTGTAGAAGTCGTGCATGATGGGCGTCACTGCCACGAGGAAGAGCAGCTGGCGGTGATGCAGCAGGGAGGTCAAATGGGTGAATATAACATATTGATGGGAGTGGCAAGATAGACAAGTCTGATAAGCAAGGGCGTGAGAAGAATATGTAGAGCTAGAAAAGTGTGTAGAGGCAAATGGAATATGTAGTGAACGATCGTGTACTGCTACAACGAATATGTAGTGGTAAGACACCGCTAGGACGAATCCTGGCTGGCTCGACAAATTATGGCAACTGATGGTAGGCCGAACCAGGAAGTAAGTGTGTCGCATGACATTGTAACAAGGTGACATTTGAGCGGCCGAAAAGGGACGTACCAGGAAATATGCACCCAAGCTGCTTCCAATCGTAAAAAGAATGCCACCCACTCCTTCCAGCACAATCGCTGTCAAGAGAAGAATCTTGGGCTGCAACCATACGCGGTTGTGATGGATAGAGACGTGGATTAAACTTCTACGGTTGAAAAATGTAAAAGCCTGAAACCTACAATTCCAGTAAGCGACCACTTCCAGGAACACGAACGCTACGGAAAGGCGCAGCGACTAACGGACATCACGATGTCAGCTAAGAATGAAGCTTTGTGAAACTCACGTCAACATGCGGAACAGAGAGACCTAACGAATCCTTCAAGTGATTTTGAAACGTCTCCAGCTTCGGAGTCATGTTCTTCAACGCGGGTCCGCCATCGGGACCGAAGTCATTGAACCTGCGTCAACGCGGATCGGCATTCAGTATCGGTCGTATTTTTCACCATGGTTCAATAAAGCTCGCACGGGCTTGTGCAAAGAAAAATACATCAGAATCTGATGCCAAGTTCCCACTTTTGCCATGCCGCGAGGATGAAAATGGCGGAAAAGAAGACTCTCCCGATGAAGGACGCGAATCCCATGGCTGGGACTCTCGAATAAAACTCGTGAAATCTCTTCTAGAAACCAGAATCGCGATCCCGAATACGAGATAAGTGAGCTCGCTGAATAATCTGAATCCCTAAGGACGCGGTAGAAGTGCTCGATTGGGGGGAGATCGATCCGGTCACCACACTGAAACCCCGCGTTTTGCATACGAAAAGTACAAAACCGTCTACAACCGCGATAAAAAACCCTGAGGCGATCGATTCTCCACTTTCACTGCGTCCTAAATGGCAAGTGTTTCACTGCCAGGTCTGCGCTCCAACCGCTCCAGTAGTGGTATTTGGAGAAGTTGTTCCGTCCATTGGGCTGCAAGGAGCCAGCAGAATCCAAACAGAATCTGTAATGTCTAAACTCTTGAAATTGCAATTTGAAAAGCAGAAACAAACCAAATCAGTAGTTTCTCACACATTGAGATTCACACAAACTATTAACACTGGCACACTTGGGAACCGCGAAAAAGTCTGCGGCTGTAAACTGAGGCACACTGAGAGCAAGCCACTGCTGGCTTGCTATAAATCACACAACTCACTAAACACACTTGCTAATGGCCTCCCTAGAGCCACACAACCTATGCACACAAAAAGTACAGCAAACCAAAAGCGTTAGGCAAACCAAAAGATAATAAAAGAAAAGCCAGGCAACACTCGGCATCAGGCTCTTGGCCCTGATGTGAACGCGAGACGCTAACAGACACATGTGCAGCCGCACATGGCACGCCTGTGAGGGAAGGCAGCTCAGCAGCTGCGGCTCCAAGCCACCGTTTGTTGGCATGAACTCATGAAACAACGTACGAGTCATACGGTATGGCACCAGAAACAGGTCTCCATGAGAACATGATGGTGTGAGAGTCTTGCGACAAGAAAGAGGCGAAAGGAGAAGAGTGAATCTACGGCCGGGCGGCGATCTGCCCGCGACTCGCGCCTGAAGCCATGCCAGCAAGCCCTGCAGGCATGCCAGCAGCAGCTGAAAGTTGGTGGTGATACTGCTGCTGCTGCTGCTGTAGGTGCTGTTGCTGCTGCAGATGTTGTTGCTGCTGGAGGTGTTGTTGCGGGTGCTGCATTTGCTGCTGTTGATGCTGCTGATGATGATGTTGCTGGTGCTGCTGGGTTTTGTACTGTTGCTGTTGCTCCTGGTGTTGCGAGGCTGCAACTGCTTGTAACGAGGACGCCATAGATGCGGACAGAGTGATATCAGACGACGGGGACAGCGAAACCTCTCCTTCCGCCCCAAGCAAAGTGCTGCCCCCGCCCCCTCCGCCCAGCAATCCTCCGCCCATGTGTAGCTCCCCCAGGGGGCCCATTATCCCGCCCATGTTTCCCCCTGCAGCAGCGGAGCCCGCACCATGGGGCAGGGAATGGAATCCGGGGAGAAGCATCATTGCTCCGCCCATTCCGCCGCCCATTCCTCCGCCCACAACGCCAGCCATACCACCGCCCATTCCGCCCCCACTTGAGGCAGCCGCGGCTGCCGCAGCGGCAGCGGACATAGAGTCCCCCGCGCTCCCCAGCATCCCCATCATGCACGCGCTGCTTCCGCCCGTCGTTCCCGCCAGCAGCATCCCCCCCCCGTGCGGATCCATCTTCATGTCCACCCCCGCGCTCATCGCTGTGCCCGCGCCCATGCTTGCGCTCAAGCCTGCGCCCATGCCCGCGCTCATTCCGCCCGGCCCCATGCTCATCGCAAACGCGCCCATTCCGCCAGCCGCAGCGGCGGAGGAAGTGCCTGGCGGATGCGGCATCAGCGCAAGCATGCCGTGCGGAAGGTGCATCGCGGGGAACGATCCGGGCAGGCCGAATCCGTTCATTCCCGCCATCATGCTGCCGCCGTACATGCCCGCGCCACCCAGCCCCACGCCCGCCATACCTCCGCCGGTTCCCCCCACCGCGCCGCTGGCGGAAGCTGCAGCGGATGCGGGAACGGAAGGCGGGGAGGAGCGGGGGAGCAGCGAGGGGCTGCCGGTGGAGGGCGGAGAGCCGACGAGCGGAGCGGACGCGCAAGCCTCCCGCGGAGACATGGGCGAAACGGATGCGGTTGCGCCCGACGGCGTCGAGGCGAGCGGGGGAAGCGCGTGCGGGTGCGCAGCGTGCGGGTGCGCAGAGTGCGGTATGTGCGCGGCAGGATGTTGTAGATGCGCCAGCTGCGCCGGCGATTGCGGCGCCAGCTGCGGCGCCAGCTGCGTCGCCTGCTGTGTCGGGTACATGGCGAGCGAGCCGGCAGCGATGGCAGCCGCCGTGCGACTGTGCAGCGACGAGTGGCGAGTGGGCGGCTGCGACCCCTGACGACGGGAGAGAGAGCAGGGGGAAGAGTAGGGGGGAAAACAGGAGGAGGGTAAAGAGGGGAACGAGACATTAGGAAAGGAACACGAGAGAGTCAACGCGACGCGACCAGCCGAGAGCCTGAGTAACAAATGGCTTGGAACGATAGCGATGGGGAACCCGGCAAAGGCTGCACGAGCGAGGCCGAGGGGCGAGAAAAAGGGCATGAAAGCTGCCATTTAGAAACAACCCTCGGGGATGCTGCTATGTAAAGCGCCGTACATGCTGCTATGTAAAGCGCCGTAAAGTACGCGGAACGCATCGTGGAAAACGGTGTGGCAAGCGGAGGCGGGGGGAAAATGAAAGCGTGGCGCGTACGGGGGAGCGGTAGGTGGTGCCATCGGACTCGACAACCCAGCCTGCTTCCGCGGCGAGCGCGCGCAGAACGTCGTTGATGTCCGCCCTCGGCGGAAGGTTGTATCCGCCGTACTTGCGCAGGCCGGCAAAGATCTTCGTGGTTATGGCGCGCCGCTGCCGCTCGCGCAGCTTCGTCTTCTCCTTCTCGCTCTCCGTCAGCCGCGACGCGTCTCCGCCGTGCCCCCCCTCGCGCTTACACATGGCGGCCGAGGACGGCGACAGGTCCGCTGACGGCTTCATCCACTGGGAAGCGCGCTGCGGCGAGGCGGGAGTGACTGAGCTGCGAGACTCGAAAGACTCGAGCGACCGAGCGACCGAGCTGCGCGGTGCAGCGTTATGGGTTACGCTCGGTGCTCTGGTTGTGAGACTCGAGCGACCTATAGCTTCCAGCTCGTGCTGGCTACTGTGGGATTCGACTAACGATTAAGTAGCCCGCTGATAAGCGACTGAGCGCAACGCGCATAACCGTTGAGGGGGGGTTCAGGCTAAGAAGCGACTAAGGACACGACCAGACGAGAACACCAGGGACAGGTGGTTGCCAGAGAGGAATCCTGTGTTAGCTTGCAATCCTGGTTTTCCCTCGTGTGGCAAGTTAAATGTGGAAAGAGAGCAAAGATGTTTTGGTTGCAGCACCTTTTGCGAACGAGATTGAGAATCGTGCGAGGAAGAAAGGGCACGGGAGGGAGTGAGCCATGGTGGCGTGACTGACGGCAGCAATAGTGGCGGGGCATGGAGGAAGCGAGAGGGGGACGAATGCAAAAGACCAGGCAAAGCCACCCACTCAGCAAATGCCCAACGCATCCCATAATGAACAGCTCATCCCATCCAGACATTTTTCGAACCACTTTAAAAGACTTGAAACTCCACCCAACCTCCCTGCGATGAGTTCCCCCAACCCATGCTCGGTGAGAGTTCCCCCAGCCCAGACAGACCTGGGGGAGATGGTACAGTAGAGTGACTGCCATGCCACGACTTGATGAGAGCCGTTGATACACGGAGCAGCATTACGGGGAACAGTGGCGGAGATTCTTCCACAGCACCACATTCACGGATTGGACGAGCGGGGAAACGAAAGAAGGGCAGATAGTGGGTCGGGGGTGCGGGAAGGGGGTTGAAGGGCTGGTGCTGGATGCCGCGCTGTGCGTTGAAAGAAAGTGGGGGGACGGGGTCCGGGTGGGGAGGAAAGTTGTCAAAAGGGGTTTGGGGGGAGGGTGGAGCAGAGGAGGATTTGGTGTGAGGAGGAACAGTAGGGGGAACTGGGGGGATTGTGGAGAAAGTCGGAAAACATGCGCGCAGGCATGCGCGCTTCCATTTTGACGATGAGTGAAGCACGACCACACCTTATCCGAAAATCTTCCCGAGGTGGCTCGCCGAATGACAGGGAGACACAAGTTGATGATGACGTTGGGCGAGAATTTCCACAATACAGCTCACACAAATTTCCAAGATAGTTTGGTTTGGGAATTTGACTACTGTACGTTACTCAGACATAATTTTGCTCGGCTAGGCAACCGAGCAAAATTATCAGAACACGCAAGGGTGGGGAAAGCCACGAAAGCTCGATACAGTGGCTGAAGTTTGAAAGATGTTCCAATCCAAGAACCATCAGAAAGCAAAAGTTCTTTCTTCGAATCAAACTAGCAATCGCAATGATTGAATCGACAAAGGACTCGCACGTGATTGAACTTGTCGGAAAAGAATGTGATTCGCCGCAGGGCTCACATGACGCTGGATTTGACCTGGCAACGGCAGAAGGTGAGTCATTCTCTGATTCATTGGAGATCGGAAATCCTCTACATAAGTCTTCGATAGACGGACATGCGACTCCATAAAACGCGGATATTGTAACCTTGCGAGCTACGTGGATATTACAGCTCCTTTTTTTGTTAAGTTAAAATCAATCATGCCCAACATATGGGTAACTGTGGACCAGGGATGCTGGCTGATCAAGGTTAGTGTCATGATTCCTGCCTTCCTACGTATTCTTGTTTCACACCGCAGCCAGACAGGGTATTGGTTTGAGCATGTGCAGTAAAATCACCTCTTGGTAGAGAAGGGAATACAGTACACAACTACCCAAGTCTTGACAGACAAAAAAAAAGGGGCACCAGCACAGGACACATGGGTACGGTGGAGCACAACAGTTATCACTCCACTAACAACAAGTCACCATAAGCAAATGGTGCTTATATTGGGCACAATAGGCATCTTATCACCATCTCATTCGACCCACCTAGATTATGAATAAATCAAATTGGATTTGAGCCCTGATCCCCTGTACCACGCCCTAACCGCATTCCGTATCCTAGCCCCTTTGACATTCATCTTACTCCAAAGCCCGACAAACGTGAATCCATGGTCGGATGTGCTGGGCAGAAATGCCGCCGATTGTGGGTGGCTTTTAATGTACTCCTCCACGGTGTCCAGCACATTTACTGCAACAGACAGCACCGAATCCCTCTCAGCATCCGTACAGCGCTGCATCGGTTTCTGGGCAACGGGAATCACGCTTCTCATGCGGTCGCTCTGGAGCTGGCTGACTGTAATTGGCTGTGCGAGCAGCTCCGACAGGCACGTGTCAGCATAGGCGAAATCGAGCGGCATCTGGTTGCCGATGACGGCTGCGTGGCGGTCGAAGAGGGAGTTGGCGATGAAGACGGGACGGGAGACGAAGCGCAGGGAGTATTGAGGGAAGAAGCAGCGCCACTGCGTGCTGGAGTTGTACTCTGGATGAAAGGTGATGGGGGGGTGGGAGAGGATGGCTTGACAGGATTTAGCCGGATGAGTGGTGTGGGAGAAGTGCTCTGGACGGGTGGTGGGGGCAGGGGTTTTAGAAGGGGGGAAAGGGACAATGAAGGGAAGAGCGAGTTGGCGATGAAGACGGGGCGGGAGACGAAGCGGAGAGAGTACTGCCGGAAGAAGCAGCGCCACTGGGTGCTGGAGTTGTACTCTGGCTTGGGCACGGGGAGAGAGAGAGAGAGAGAGAGAGAGAGAGAGAGAGAGAGAGAGAGAGAGAGAGAGAGAGAGAGAGAGAGAGAGAGAGAGAGAGAGAGAGAGAGAGAGAGAGAGAGAGAGAGAGAGAGAGAGAGAGAGAGAGAGAGAGAGAGAGGTGTAACAGGAATTAGAAATATAGGATGGGTGCTGGCGTTGTGCCCTGGATGGAAGGGGTGGGGAGATAATGGAGGATGGTTTAACAGGATATTGTAATGCAGGATGAGTGCTTGAGTTGTGCTCTGGGTAAAAAGGGTTCGGGAGAGCGAGAGGATGGATTTACAGGATAAGTGTACACTGGATGGGGGCGGGGGGGAGGGGTGGAGAGAGGATGATGCAAAGTGAATAAGTTGGTGAGTTGGTTGAGGGTTGCTGGGTTGGGTAGGATTGGGAAGGAATGTGGGGGAGGGGAGGGGAATGTGGGGGATGGGAGGGGAATGTGGGGGAGGGGAGGGGAATGTGGGGGATGGGAGGGGAATGTGGGGGAGGGGAGGGGAATGTGGGGGATGGGAGGGGAATGTGGGGGATGGGAGGGGAATGTGGGGGACGGGAGGGGAATGTGGGGGATGGGAGGGGAATGTGTGTGTGGGAGGGGGAGGGGGAGAAATTGGAGAGGCTTGAGGGCAAACATTCCACGCAGTGAGCGGTGCATCAAGAGCAGCTGCTTCTGCGCCAGCAAGGTGGGTAACAGCAAAAGTGTTTTGCAAGCCATGATGCGGGGGAAGTGGCCAGAGGGGAAGGAACAGAGGAAAGAAAAAGCATGTGGAAAAGACCAAGCAGAAAGGAAAATGGAGAAACAGGAAGGAAGCTTGAGCGGGCAAGCGCTCACCAGCGCTGCAGCGGTCGCTCCCCTGGAATTGGTGTATCGCCACCAGCTTCTGCGCCACTGACCGGAACCTCCGCCCGCCCTTGCGGTCGCGCGCGTCTGTTTGCGCCCACGGGAACAGCCAGGTCGGGGGGGAGCGGGAGGAGGGGGAGGGGGGGTGAGACGAGGGATGGTAGATGGTGGTGTGGGGGGTTGCCGGAGGGGTGTGTGGGGGGGGGGGGGGGGGGGGGGGGGAGAAACGGGGAGGGAATGCGGGTGAAGCTGAAGGAGAATGCAATGACGGGGTGTGGGGCAGGGAGAGGACGAGTGAGAATGCGTGATACATTCAGAAAGGGAGCTTTCAATGTGTGCAGAACCTTGTGCTTACCCATGAGGCCGGCACCTGGTGGTGGCGCCCGTTTTGCGACGACTCAAATCTAGTCTCATTTCACGCGGATCACATGTGGAGACGTGGTTTGTTGCATGGCTTACCGACGAACACGCCCGTGGTTTGTTGGCATAGCTTACCGACAAACACGCCCGTGGTTTGTTGCATGGCTTACCGACAAACACGCCCGTGGTTTGTTGCATGGCTTACCGACAAACACGCCCGTGGTTTGTTGCATGGCTTACCGACAAACACGCCCATGGTTTGTTGCATGGCTTACCGACAAACACGCCCATGGTTTGTTGCATGGCTTACCGACGAACATGCCCGTGGTTTGTTGCATGGCTTACCGACGAAGACGCCCGTGGTTTGATGCATGGCTTACCGACGAACACGCCCGAGTCCATGAGGCACTTGGTGGTGGCGCCCGGCAGCTGCGCCGCGATAAAGTCACAAAAGGTCGTCACTGCCTGCGCGCCCGCTGATGCTCCCGATATAAGCACCTCAGAAGCTGACGACATGCCACGTGTCGCCAGGACATCTATCAGTTCGACGGACGCCAGGAACCGAAGAGGGGCAAATGGAAGGGCGTGGAAACGGAAAGGAGGCGCGTGGGGGAAGTAAAGGCGGAGAAGTGAGAATGAGGGATGAAGCAGCGAGACCACCATATTTTCTTCGTTATTCGATCCCTATCCCTGGCATAAAGAAAAAACTATATCCCACTCGCAGCACACCTGATGAATCCAGTACACATGCGTAGAACGCAAACAAAAACGCACAATTTTCGGATCCTCACCTCTAAGAATCGCACGGAGAACCTTTCTCCCGTCCAGGTACAGCGCCGGACCACCCTGCACCGATCTCAACCCCGCCTTCCCTTGAAACCCGCCTCCGTCGCAATACACGGGCATGACGTAGTTCCAGTTAAAGAACAGCGGATTGGTCTTGGCCAGCGGGCTCATCATTCCCTTGCTCAGAAACTTGGACCACCGCCAGTTATTGTCCGCCTGCATGCGCGTGCTCCCCAGCGGCGTCTTCGCGCGGTCCGCGCAGTCCTCCATTGTCGCGCACCACCCCCCGATGGGCAGGTGGATGTGCCATGACTTCGCCCCGCTGCCGCTGCCCGGCCGGAAGTAGTAACCTGGGGGACTGCGGGGCGGATCGCGGAATGGGGAGAGGAAGGGGCGCGGGGATTGGAGAGGAAGGAGGGGGGTAAGGAAGTTCGGAGTTGTTCCTTTACATACCATTCAACTCACTTGTACAGGACACGCACCCTTTCCGTCTTTTTAGCAGAAAGGCCACACAATGGTGTACAAACAACATACGAGCCTGGGATTTATGAAAGCGCGCCGCCCAAGCACTGCCGCGCGGAGCTCGTAGTTAAGATCTAAACCGCAGGCTTGTGTTCTGAACGCCTAGCGGGATTGATTTCCATCACATATCGACTCATCGCGCGCGGCTGGTAGAGTGAAGGCCTCTAACCATCGGACGGTTCTTGATCGCTCTCTAGACGTACCTGCCGTCGAGGCATTTCGCGCCGAGGTCATTATTGGGCAAGAGGTAGAGATTCGTGTTGGGAACTCCCGACGGGATCGGACCCGTCGACGACGCACTCGCCGACGCGGTGGCTGCTGATACCTGCGCTAGAAGCGCCACGGCTAAACACACTGCCGCTGCTGTTGCTGCTGCTGCTGCCATTTCCTAGCGTCTACGTGATTGAGTTCAATGGATTTCCTAGTCTACAAGGTCTTGAAGGAATGCAAGGGATCGAAAGCGTGTCCTAGCGGAGAGCTTGTTGTGGCCTAAGCAGCTTTGCCTAAAGGCGTAATTACCACGTTCACATAGAGCGTGACCTCAACAAGCAGCCCATGGCCTTTCGACGGCCTCGTACCGCACGACAAGAGCGTCTGTTAATGAGATCTTAACGAACGCGGATACCGAAGGATTGTGACAACATATGAAAGTGATATTGCCGAAGGATCGACCTATGTATGTCCTCCTCAATCAACTGCCAAAAGGTCGTCGGTGGGGAGGGCGAGGTGGGGGGACATGGCCAATAGGAGTAGGAAGAGCTATGTGTGGTGCCGAATAATCCTGATAAGAATGTGCCATGCGGGAGAGAGGTGAACTTCAGGCACGCGCCCAGCCTCTCTGGTTGGGGTGATTGACCAACATCGCTCCCCCCAGGCATGGATGACCACCTAGTGTGTTTCTCGGGCAGTACGCCTATTTCCCCTATAAAACGCTGTACATCAGGCCTTCTTATCAACTCACGAATTGAATTACCTTCGTTCCCACTAATCGTGTCTAATTGCATTCGAGGAATCTTTCTGAACTTCCAAAATGCGAAAGACAGGCCATCTGGACCAGAAAATATATATGAAGGTTTTCCAGGTATGCAAACGTCAAGAATGTCCGTGCCTATGAAAGCTAGGTCCCGAGCGAGTGAGCGACACGCGCAGGATGAACGCGTTTCAATGAGCCGCGTACTGTATGCAAGGGAGAATGCGGATTGGAGGGCCTCACCAGCTGTGTCGCTCACCTCAATGCGCGAAACAAACTCGCCAAACGATAAATTATCTCGCTTGCATTCGCATCGAATCGTCAATTTTCTCGCCAGTTCGCTTTGCTGGAATTGACATCTCCAAGGCTACACCGTTTCGCTGCCTTCGTTAGTCTTCCAGCTTTCAGGGACCCAGCTCATTCAGAACAGAATTGAGACTCGTACCCGCGGCTCGAGACATAAATTTGAATTGCGACTCGCGTTGAACTTCGAAAGAAGTGGCGCACTGCCCGGCACCCAACCAGGTTCAAAGAGTGCCGTGGTTCCTCGGCATTCCCGCGGTCCGCTTTGCAAGGCGGGAACTGAATTCGCGCGACGAAACACCGACTCCATTCAAGACGGAATTATCCTCGTTATCAAGCTTGGACGAGGCATTTTGAAAATGAGCTCATACAAACATGTAAGCCTACAAAGCCCTTATTATCTGTATAAAAACATGCACTCGACAACAAGCACTAGAGTTTGCAAACACAAGCTCCATTTCCAACTCAAAAGTAGAGCTTTCCCCCCCAAAGTTTTCCCTTGAACCAGCCAACAACGGCATCCTTCATGTATGTGCTATTATGTGGGGGGCTAAACCACTGAGACGTAGTGGTTACGCAATGACCCACGCAATCAGTCGCTAGGAATGCCAGAACATTCTTCTCATTTGCCACCAAGCTCTTCAGCTTTATGAACAAATCTGACACAGTAGACTGAATTGTAATGCGGGAAGTAGAATCGCACTCCCCCGGCTTCGCATTGAAGGGCTTCCATTGGTTGGAAACCACAGCCTTTTGCAGGTCCTTCTGCTCCCATATAATTTGTCGAAGGCACCTGTTGTTGACTTGGAATGTTGTATTCCTCAGCTGGTTATACAGCTGAAGGGCGGTGTAGTCAAATAGAGCATTGGTGATAAACAACGGCCTTGAGACTGTCTTTAGCGAGTATTCTGGAAGCAGGCACTTCCATGGTTCCGTACCTGTAAGTTCAAACACAGTCAAAACAGAAAAAAACGGGATTTAGTCAATATAATCGCAATTTGCTATGTAAGGTTCTGTAACAGTTGGTGCTTACCTTGGCTGCATTTGCTGTCGGCGAATTTATGCAGGGAAGCAACACTCTGTATTGTTGACCTGAAAGTGAAACCGTTTTGCCGGTCCTTTGCGTCTGTATGGAGAGAACAAGGCGGGGGAGATGAAGAAGCAGGCTGGGGCTGAACAAGACGAAGGCGGCCAAGAAGGGTCCAATGCACTCATATGAATGGAACGATAATGATAGATGCACAGCCCATCAAACAGTTGCTGCTGTCTCTCTGTCAAGGAGTGGTGGCCATGGAGAAACTGCCATCTGCATACAGCAGCAGCTTCTAGCAAATCCTGTACTGCGCTGCCCTCTTACAACGAAATGATGATATTATTTTTAGATGTCTCAAACAAATTCGTTTTCACGTGAAACGCCTTGTTGTTGGCGAACTTGACCTTGGTCCTAGGATTTGAGCTCTACTGTGCTGCTGGCATTTGAGCTCTTACCTAGAAAGAACGCTCCATCATTGAGGCACTTGATGCTGGACATGTGATTTAAGATGTCTCTTTACGGCCATGTGCTCTCCTCTCCTCTCACCAAGGAAAAAGGCTCCATCAATGAGGCACTTGACGTTGGCCTTGGGATGCGCGGCGGCCACGGAGTCGCAGATGCGCGTGACTGGGAATCCGCCCGCAGAGCAGCCTGAGATGAGGATCCGCGGCGCCCCCGCCATGCCGTTCTGCGTCCCGTTGAGATCTGCGCGTGGGAGAAGGGAGAAGGGAGAGGGGATAGGGGAGGAAATAGAGGGAAGAAGGGAGAAGGGAGAAGGGAGCAAGGGAGTAGGGAGTAGGGAGCAAGGGAGATGGTAAATGGGAGAATACAAGATAGGTGGAAAGAATAAGAGAGAGTTGGAGGAGACGGAGAGGGATCCATAGAGATGGAGAGAGGCGGAGAAGGACCTTTGTGGGGAGAAAAGGGTGCTGGATTTACGGCAGACAGGGAATCATCATCTGGAATTCACCACAGCAACGATACAGGGGGCAAGCACGTTGGCTCGTACCCGCTACTTTAGTAACAAGCACACTCAGCACCCCACACGCAGCTATGCTGGAGTTTTGAGTCGACTCAGAAGTCTACGCGGGGCAAGCATTTTGAGTCGTACCCACTATATTAGTGACTAGCACGCTGAGCACCCCACCCGCAGCTATGTTGGATCTTTCCCGCCAATTCACTGGCAAGCACGCAGCACGCTTACCACTTAGCACGGCTTTAACGATCGCGTCGCCTTGCATGAACAGCGTCGCGCCTTTCCCGTTGCCCTTCACTGTGACCTTCCCTGCGGTACCCGCGTAGCCCCCGCCGTCGCAATACGCGAGGAGCGCGAGATTCCAGTTGTAAAAGAGCTTGTTTTCCGGCTGACGGGCAGATAAAATTCCCGTCAGCTGCTCTCCCACCCATGATCCCTGGATGAACGAGGGGAGAGATTTTGTGAGACGGTGCCGCATTTCGTCTGGCTAATATGAGCCCCTCGTTTCATTCAAGGACACGTGAAATTTGAGATTTCAACAAGCGCCAAGCTAAGTTCTTAGCGCCCGTTCTAGTATGCGCGGTCTCAGTTGCTGTCGCTCTGTCGCGCATCAGTCCCGCTCACCTGCGACGATTGCGGCATGTACTTTGTCGATCCGAGAAACGTCGTCGCACGCGCTGCACACTCGTCGCGCGTCGCACACCATCCGCCGCCAGGGAAGTGGATGTGCCACGACTTGGCTCCATTGCCGTAGCCCACGCGGCGGTAGTACCCAGGCGGACTGCGGGGAGGACGTCGCGTGAGGGGAAACCACGACAATATACTCGGTCGCTCAGCAACCATAGTGCCCTGAAAAGGGAAATGATCGAGACTATCCATCTGACGGTGGCACCCAGGCGGGCTGAGGGGAGGCGCGCGACAGTTGCAAGACGAAACGCGACAGCACAACGAATCGTTGGAGAATGGTTGCATTTCTGGGTTCCTAATAGGAGATGACAGCTATGTTGAATTAACCACAGAGCGCACCAAAAAGGAAAAAGAAAAAAACTCTTTATTTTGCAGAACAAGACTCTCTGACTCAGAGAGTCGACTAATCTATCGAGGTCGAACTGGCTACAGAGACGACTAAGCAAAGAAATATCCGAACCTGCCATCGAGGCATTTCGCGCGGAACGAATTGTTGCGCAGCAGAACGAGCCGCGCGATCCCGTCATTGCCTGGTACCCCGCCGACATTCGCGCTCGCCTTGACCTTGCTTGAACTCCCCTTTGCACCGCTCGCCTTTCCACTGCTCTTTCCGCTGCCTTTCGCGCCACCCTGAGGACTAGCACCGCTTGTAAATTCCGCGAAAATTATCAGCAAGAGGGCGAGAGCCATGCACAAGCACAATCCCAACAGTGGTCGCCTTCGCGCCAATCGTTCTCCTGCCACCCTCCGTCTCTCGATCCCTTGACGCGCTCGCATCTTGCCTCTCCACGACTCTTCGAGCCGCTCCCCGCCCCTCCACGCCTCTCACAGCCTTTTCTCGCCCCTCCTACTAGCCCCTCCTCACCCCTAAGCCCTCTTTGATTTCTGTCCAATTTGAGGCTTCCTTTCGGCTTACCAACGCTCCTCGATATGTCGACGACCGAATTGCAGGGAGAGGCAAGCGCAACCTACTTTGAGGAATAACGGAAACCCAATTCCATTCCACTTCGCAACCGACAAGGAAAACTGCTAGCTGCACAGAGCCTGCGCCCGGATGCTACTAAAAACCCTGGGTTGTCAAACACTGGCTTCTCACTCATCCCTGTGAAGTCGGCGGCTTGTCATCATGCCGTTCTTGCAAGATTGCGCACGAGCCTGAGTGCAACCTAAGTGGGCACAACAGCCTCCAGCACCAGCCGACCCCAGAATGGTCTGGTTTCTTGTACCGCGGCCCGCCCAATGATGCGTTCAAGCAGCCTTCTGCCGGAGTCTTCAACAGCCTAACAACCGACATGGTGAGGACACTGGGGGGCAGAATGACAGCTCCGCCCAACCCTGGGCGTCGACTGTCTGTAGCGGTGCGTGCAATAGGCGATTTGAGAGAGGGGCTGAAGTGCTCGTCGTCGGATTACGGATTGATTTGGGACGTTCAAGCACGAATTATCGCGTCGCGGGATTTGCTCGAATGCGCTGCGGTTGATTTGTGGGTGCAATGGATGGTTTGAATTGTTTGACGCATCTACTGCTGACGTGGCTCTCTACCAATTGCGGAACGTGAGTTCCAGCCCAACCCCACCTGTGTACACAGCGAACGCCCAGGGCTGGGTCGTCGTGAATATCGACCGTTCGATGCCTGCAAAATCTGCAACCAGAGAACCCCCAGGAACATTACGCGACTTGGGGAAATTGGCGACCATCGCGGAGCGAAGAAGGTTGTGTTATGATGACGTGGCGTCGCACAATTCGCGAGACCACCAATGTTGCGCCTCCAACAAACCAGTCAATTCTCATCATGCCATCGATTGACTTCCACTTCATTAGGGAACAGGTGTTGAAAATACAAAATGCCCATGGAGCTCGAACACAACCGCAACTATTTTATTCATTTCAGCAACACCAGCAACATGTAAAAATATACATCTTGGATTGCATCATTCCCTCCCAGACACCATTACGGCGCGTTTGATCTATTTTCAAGTTCGGAAAAAAAGGTCGAACTTTGTGTGGTTACCAGCTTCGCTAATGTCGTCAGGAGGCTTTGGCGAAGGCATGAGAATTTTGGGGCACATAAGTTCGAATGTCAAATGTGAAGTCAACTCGAATCGCACGAGTGAACGTGCGGGTGCACGTGAGGCGAGTGTGTGTGTTGTTTTCAGCACGTACGAAGGCCATCCGAAAATCGCGACCGCTTTGCGAAGGTCGTTGAGCTTCGTTGCGCATTACGTTAACGTGTCGCGCTGTACCAGGTAACCTGCTCCCCTACGGGCGGCTCGCCGCCATCCCTAAAAGGTCAAATCTCTGTGTTCGACCTTGGGTGTGTGATTGTGACTCGTCTGTGTTGGAGACCCAAGATTCAAACTTCGCTGGAAAGAAAGTCGAGTTTTGTTAAAATGCTACATTCGACCTAAAAACATAAACTTTCACAAATTTGTAAGACCACACGCGCCCTTATCTCACATTTCCCAAGCAGACGTCATACCATTGTTGCATCATTGATCTCTTGGGCCACCCATCGAGCTACAGCTACCTGGATCGAAGTCTTGAAACTTCTCACAAAACCCCATCGCCAAGAAGTTAAGGTGCTGTGCGCTACAAGCCGAAGTGGCACGAAGGCACCAAACCCTTTCTTGAACCTCAATAAATGGACTATGCTATTGAACACAGCCACAGCTGTACTCTCTGCTGCACTGCACTCGCTTTGTCTGCACCAACCTTCAGGACCCTCTGACGGTGGTACAAACAAGTGTGATTGTAATGAGGCCAACATATTTGATTGTGACCTAATCAAACTCTTAAGACACTCTACGGGGTTGGTGGTGTTGGGAAGCTGCTTACCAATGAGGAGAGATGCGTCATCAAATACGGTGTTTAGTATGAAGAAGGGGGATGAGGCGAAGGGGAGGGCGTATTGGGGAAAGAAGCATCGCCACCGCTCAGACGCAGGGGTCACTGCAGGCAGGGACAAGGAAGAGGCAGAGAGATGGGTGGAAGGGAGTAGTTGGTCTTCGCACTACAAGTTCGTCGTCGTCGGTAAGACGCTCTGGGAGGCAGGACGTGGGGAGAGAGGAGGGACTTTTTTGAGGGGGCCTGAGATGGAAACAATAGGAGGGAATAAAATCGGAGGGAATAAGATCAGCAAGGAGAGGACTGTTGGTGCTGCACAGGCATGCACTGCAACATGAGAGCAAGAGGGCCCACCTCGATCGCAGCGGGACTGCGGCGAGAACTGGTGCAGCGCTGAGATCTGCTGGGCTAGGCTCTGAAAGTGCATTCTCCCCGTGCGGTCTGGGGCATCTGTGAGAGGGGGGAGGTGGGGGAATGGGGGGGAGAGAGAGGGAGAGCGGGAGAAATGAAGAGGGAGAGGGGTGTGCGTGCGATAGGGTGAAAGGGGGGGTTGTCAAAGATGGGTGTGAGGCCAGCGGAGGGTGCAGAAAACGGAAGGGTGATGGCACCTACTGGACAAGAAGGAAAGAGAAGGAGAATGTACCGGGGAAGAAGGAGCCATCGAGGAGGCATTTGACGGTGGCGCGGGGGAGCAGAGCAGCGAGGGAGTCACACAGGCGCACCACTGCCAGCCCCCCCGCTGACGTCCCCGACACCAGCACCGTTGTCGCCCTCGCTATTGCTCTGTTTGCTAGCAGGTCTGATGCGGTCGCAGAGGAGGCATGAGTAGGGACAGACAGAGAGGAGGCACAATGTGGGGAAACAGAGGAACCGAGAAGGGCAGGGACGTAACACTCAGCAGGAGATGTCACAATGGACAAGTAACTCCGCCAATGTGGGTTAAAGCTCAAGGCCCAAATTGCAGAGCGCGCGGGGCAAGATTACTAAAGTTGATGAAAGTGATGTTTAGAGTGTTGTTTGGCTGCGAATTGTGGTTACGTGAAGTGCGATGCAATTTGATTGGCCAACAGTTTTTTTGTCGAATAGGAGAGAAGGAAAAACCAAGAATATTGTGAGTGCAATTTGGGGCTCGAGATCCAAACCGAGTTTCTCCCTGGGGTTTGCTGAGTCAGCGAAAAGCCTAAGGGTGTAGCGAGAAGCTGGACGAAACTAAACAGCCCAACTCCAACAAAGTCAACCTTACTCTCCCACCACCCAAAGGGCAACCTTAGTAAGGTTGAAAAATTTGGGCCTTGAGCTTTAAGGAGGAATGATACGTGACTAGGTTGGGAATGCCACGTGATTGGAGGGCCAGCCATTGCTGAAACAAAAAAATGATTGTTACAAAAGCGCCAGCCATACACATTTCAAATCACACCATCCAGAACGGCACCAGCACCACACGCAGCGCACCTGCCACCAGCAGCGCTATCGCCTTCCCACGCAACGCACATCCCAGACAATCAAGCACATGCCAAGCAACGTACCGTCCATGATAGCGCTGGCGATCCTGCTGCCATCCATGTGCACGTAGCGCCCCTCCCCCACGGCCACGCGCCCGGCTGCTCCCGCATAGCCGCCCCCATCGCAGTAGACAGCCATGGCCAGGTGCCACCCCGCAAAGAACGGGTTCAGTGCCGCACTGCTGCTCAGAATGCCCAAGAATTGACCCTGTGCCCACGTGCCCTGGGACGAAAGGGGAGAGTGTAGAGGGGGGGGGGTGTCCGGGGGGAGCAGGCAGGGTGGCATAAGCAAGCGACTTGTGGTTCTGATTATCTGCTGGCGGAACTCTCCTAAGAAGAGAACCACTGTTGGCAAGATACGTATCTCCCACTCACGTTGCTGATTCTTAAGCCTGTGCTTTTGCTGCCAAGGTGGCTTTTTGAGACGCCTCAAAAGTCACCTCAATGTGACTCCCATCCCAATCACGTTGTCAGATCATGTGGCCACATACTGGTGCTGCCAAGCTGCATCCAGGCTCGAATGCGGCACTGCCCTCTCATGCCGCACCACTCGCCGCCCGGTTTAGTTTTGAGACGTCTCAAAACTCACTCACGTGATTGGTTGTCGGCCACATGCTGGTGCTGCCGCTCAGCTCCATCCTGGCTCGAATGCGGCACTGCTCTGCGCACCACCCGCCCCCTCCCGCCCCCCACCCCGTGATTTTTCAATCGGCTAGAAAATCACCTCTAGCACGGATGACTCCGCTCACGTTATTGGTTTCCGGCCACATGCTAGTGCTTCCCAGCTGCATCCCGGCTCGAATGCGGCACTGCCTCTTGTTGCCGCACCACCCGCCGCCCGGAAAGTGGATGTGCCACGTGGAGGCGCCCTTCCAAGGTGCCTCCCGCAGGTAGTACCCCGGCGGGCTGGGATAGATGCGGGGGAGGGGGGGGTGAAGCGGAGAAGGGGGAAGTGGAATAGGAGAGACGCCCACGGGGTGTGGCGCCCTTCCAAGGTGCCTCCCGCAGGTAATACCCCGGCGGGCTGGGATAGATGCGGTGGAGGGGGGGGTGAAGCGGAGAAGGGGGAAGTGGAATAGGAGTGACGCCCACGGGGTGTGGCGCCCTTCCAAGGTGCCTCCCGCAGGTAGTACCCCGGCGGGCTGGGATAGAGGCACAGGGGGGTCAAGCAGAGAAGGGGATGGGGGAAGTGGGATAGGAGAGATGGGGAGTGACACCCACGGGGTGTGGCACCCTTCCAAGGTGCCTCCCGCATAGTAGCCCAGCGGACTGGGACAGATGCGAGGGGGACAAGAGGAGGCGCGGGGGAGGGGGAAGAGGAATGAGGGAGACGCGGACTGTAACACAGGTGCCGCTCGCAGGAATACCTGGGTTTAGGTTTGATCCCCTGCGGACTGGGACAACGTGTGGGGGAGCATGGGAGTAGGGGGTGAGGAGGATGGGGAGGGAACGGGGGGGAGAGGACGGGGAAAGAGTTTGAGAGCCCTCAGGAGTCACATAATGCCCCGGGGGACTGGGACAACTTTTGAGGCGCCTCAAACGAGCTTGAGACCCATCAAGAATCAGGTAGTTCCCCCGGTGGGCTGGGATCGATGTGTTGGGGGGGGGGGAGGGGGGGGGGGGGGGGGGTAGCCACGTGATAAAATAGTATTTTTGACGTCTCAAGAGTGTAAAAATTATGGCCGAGGGAGCATATCTGAATGTGCATGAATGCTCTGTGAGGGGCATAATTCCCGTCTCTGGCGGTATACAGGACCCAGCAAACGCTTTCCACTCCATACCTCCCATCCAGGCATCGCGCTCCGTATTTATTTTCTGGAAGAAGAACCAGCGTGGCGGGACGTGGATCGCTCGTTACTCGTCGCGCCCTTCCTTGCCGCAGCGCGCTCAATCTTGGAGGGCACACCGCTAGGAGTGCCAAAAGCGCCAAGGCGTTTAGCCATGCCACGTGGACGGCTGGAGTGCGAACACGACGGATGGTTACTAAGAATCCTCGCATCGAGATCGACGGCCACGGAATCCCGATGGAATTTAAGAGGCGGCGAGATGATTATGCCTTGGGCATGCGAGATATGGCGACGGAAAAAGGAAAGAGACGACAGAGAACGAGGTCATAAGCGCTGTGACCCGTGATACGGGAGAATGAGGAAAACGATTGGCTGCGGGAAACGGGTGGCTGGTTCCAAATTACGCGGTAGGGGAATCGTGCAGCACGGCACGGGGTGATATGACAAGGCGAGGTGTGAGGAGATTGGGCCCTCGACAGGAAGCTATCGCCGAGTCTTCGGGAGAAACCATTGAAGGGGAGGCGTAGGTAAGGCCATGGTGGAAACTGGATCGTCTACTATGGCGACTAGCTCGGCGGGTAGTTAGCGACATGCTGCGGTTGGTGGCTCCTGCTGAAACAGTGTTCCTCTCTGAACTCTATTGGCTGGGTGTCTCTTCTCAGCTGTCTGTGTTGGACTGGACCGCGATTGACAGCATAGCTGCGACATATGGCTGGGTGTGTCAAGTAGGTTTGACCACGTTCCTAGCTGGCTAACGGTCCTTACTGTGCCGCGATTTTCGCTAACTTTCAGCTTGAGTTATTTTTCTGGGGTATTCTTTGGCTCGAAGTGTGTCGAGTCGCCCAGATTTCTTTTAGTAACTTACTCATCGCCAGCACTGGCGACAATCGCCTGGGTAGGCGGCGAATGAATGCAAGGGAAATGTGGAAATGCCAATTTACAGGGAACGAGATGGCGGATTTGCAGCGCCAGATCGCGTTGGCTCTCGCAAACAAAGTTGAGTGTCGCAAACGAAAATCGCAATCGTTTCGCAAACCGAACTCTAGGAGTTGTGAACGAAAAACTCCCGTCGTTCGCACTGCCCGTTGGCCGCAAAATGCAGTTCATCGTTGCATAGTTGGTCACCAACATTCTGTCGCAATGGTTCGTGAACTTCGCGGGGAACGCATGATTGAAATGGTGATGCAATGGAAGTGCACTGATATCAGATTGTAGAAGGTTGCATATGAAGAGGACTGCATTACTTGTCCTAGCAAAATGTTGAGGGCAACATAACTTATCCCAGCAGAATGTAGATGGTGATGAAGGTATGACCACATGCAATACAAGGGCTAGTCTCAATGTAATTGCAGCATAATGTAGAAGACTACAAATTTTATCATTGCAACCACAATCATACATCCATGAGCTTATTTTCTCAAATGTACAACACTGAGGAATCAGTACTCCCCAGGGCCATCCATTGAGCTACAGCAACATGCACTGGAGTCCTCGCAACCTTCACCACACTCCACCGCCATGAAGTGGCGATGCTGTGTGCAATAAGCCATACTGGCATAAATGCACCAAACCCTTTCCTGGACTGTACTACATCAACTATGCCACTGTACACTGTTGCAGCTGTGCCCTGTGATGCACTGCACTCTCTTTCTGTGCACCAACCAGCAGGATCCTCCAGAGGTGGAAGAAATGAACGTGTTTGTAATGAAGCCAATAAACTGATCTGTGACAGGACTAATCCCTGCAGGCAGCCTAACAGTTTGGCGGTGTTGGGAAGCTGGTTACCAATCAGCAGCGAGACTTTATCGAAGACGGAGTTTACGATGAAATAAGGGGAAGAGGCAAGGGGGAGGGCGTATCGGGGAAAGAAGCATTGCCACCGTTCAGACGTAGGGGTCACTGCAGAGACGAGGAGGTGTCAAGGAAAGGGTAAGAGAGAGAGTAGACACAAATCCAAGAGAAATGCTGGGATGGTAATTTGGAGAAAAAAAAAGGATTGCCATCGCTGGGCGCAGCAGCAGCGAGACATAAAGCGGCAGGAGGCAGGACACAGAGGGAGTAGGGACAGATGAATACGCCGGGAAGAAAATTACGCGTTTAAAGGTGATTCAAGCACCGAAATAGCATCAGGTACACCGGCATAGACCTGAGGTGGTTGCATGAGAGCAGGAGGGCCCACCTTGATCGCAGCAGGACTGCGGTGAGAACTGGTGCAGCGCTGAGACCTGCTGGGCCAGGTACTGGAAGTGCATTTGCCCCGTGCGGTCCGGTGCTGGAAGTGCATTTGCCCCGTGCGGTCCGGTGCGTCTGGGAGGGGGTGGGGAAGGGCGGATGAGGGAAAAGGATGGGAAACGGGGGTTGACTGTGGGACTTCAGGAGTGGGAGAAAGAAGGAGAGAGTGGGGTCTGGGGGGTGCGAATGCGGGATGGTAGGAGAAAATGCGGGAAAGGGGGAGGATGGTGATAGTGAGAGTGCAAGAGAGCAGCGGGAGGCGTACCGGGGAAGAAGGAGCCATCGAGGAGGCATTTGACGGTGGCGCGGGGCAGCAGAGCAGCGAGGGAGTCACACAGGCGCATCACTGCCAGCCCCCCCGCTGACGTCCCCGACACCAGCACCGTTGTTGCCCTGCTCAGCGCCCGGTTTTCTAGCAGGTCTGATGCGGTGAACAGCGGTGAGAGAGTCGGCACAGGGAGGGGAAGATGGAGAGGAGGTGCGATTCGGGGAAGGCAGAGGTGCGGCATGAAAAGCGCAGACGGAGAAAGAATGAAACTCACGCTCTGGCTTGTTTCTCCAACTACTTGGTGACTTTGGTTCTAAGATAGTTTTTGCTTCTAAGAAACTCTTCCCCACCACACACTTCCCTTCATCTCAAACAACGCACCATGTAGGATAGCGCTGGCGATCCTGCTGCCGTCCATGTGCACGTAGCGCCTCTTCCCCACAACCACGCGCCCGGCTGCTCCCGCATAGCGGCCCCCATCGCAGTAGACAGCCATGGCCAGGTGCCACCCCGCAAAGAACGGGTTCGCCCCCTCGTTGCTGCTCAGAATGCCTTCGAAACGGCACTGCACCCACGAGGCCTGGGGGAGGGAGAGAGTGGTGGGGAAGTTGAGGGCGCACGGGCGGTCGAGAATCTTGAGACGTCTCAAAGCTTCACTTCTTTCGCACGGCAACACTCCAACTCGCTGGAACACTTGTGATAGAAGCCAGTCGCTCCTTTTGATCGGCATCACTCTATTTCGGGCGCAATTGTTTTTTCCTCCTAGAGGCTTGCCGCTGCCCGAAATATGCCAAAGACAATGCAACCCCGCCGACGGAGAGGAGGAGAGACTGGGTGGGTGATGTGAAGAGTTGAAGGGGAGGGCGAAGGAAGAGCAGGGAATGGTTTGGTGTTCGCATGAAAATAGGGGACATCTTTTTGAGAATTACCACAAAAAATTTGAATATAGATGCTGGGAAAGAAATATGTCCAAGCACAAATGATGTGAATGATTCCACTCACGTTATTGGTCGGCGGCCAGCTGGTGGTGCCGCCCAGCAGCTGCCCGGCTCGCCTGGCGCACCGGCTCTTGGTGGCGCACCACCCGCCGCCCGGAAAGTGGATGTGCCACGAGGTGACGCCCTCCAAAGGTGCCGCCCGCAGGTAATACCCCGGGGAGGGTGGAGAGGGGTGGGAGAGGGTGGAGAAGGGGGAAGGGTGGTGGAGAGGGGAGAGTAAGAATCAGGAACAGTCTCGGATCCTTCTCTCATTATGGTGCTACCACTCTCACTGTTTGGTTCAAAGGCGCCGGAATGCTCAGTGAGCGGCATAATTCTCGTTTAGGATACACTGAGGGTCAGAGGCGGAACTTGCAATAGAGCGCCGTCCCCGGCAAGAGAGGGGACCTGGTATTACCAGCTAGTAGCTAATATTTTCCCGTGGCGCATGGTACCTTCCGTCCAGGCATCGCGCTCGGTATTTATTCTCTGGTAGAAGAACCAACGTCGCGAGACGTGGTTCGTTCGCTGCTCGTCGCGCCGTTACTCGCCGCAGCGCGATTGATCTTGAAGGACACACCGCTATGAGGGCCAAAAGCGCCACGGAGATTCGCCATGCCACGTGGACGGCTGGGATTCGAGCACGACGTCTGATTTCTCGTAGTCCTCGCATTAAGATCGACGGGCACAGACTCATGACGGAGCGAAGTTTATTTGACTTCACTATCTCGAGATAAGGCGACGGAGAGAGGAAAGAGGCGTCTCAGACTTAAAGGTGAAAGGCGCTACTGTCAGTGGTAGGTAACTGTACCTGTGATGGCCAGTGATAGCCTCGCATCGATTTGCAAGAGCTTGAACGGTACCGTACCTGTGACGGGAAGCATCATGTTTTGCATGCGCTTATGCACGCTGCAGGGTGGAAGTTGAGGTGAGGATAGAAGTTGCGGCTCGACGGGCTGCCGTGCCGCCGAATGCTCGGACAGGCCGCTGAGAGGTAATCGTACGTAAGGCCATGGCGGAAACTGGGTCGTCTATAGTGACTAGCTTGCCAGGTAGCGACACGATTTGAAGTTCAACCAAGTTGGTGGCTTCCTGCCGAGCTGTCACCGCGAAATTCCGAGTTTGCACAAAATGTACACGGTAGCTTTTCCTACGGGAAATCTTCGGAAAAGCTTCGGAAAAACATCGGCGCGCACAATTGCACCTGAGTGGCCTAAGTGACATTGCAGCAACAATTGCACCTGAGTGGCCAAAGTGACATTGCAGCAACGACACTGAAGTGTCGCCAATGCTACTTCGCAGTTACAATTGTGACTTCAATGTATCAAGTTCACCAGTGATCCCGGCCATATCCCACTTCCTTAATCAAAACAACGTTATGACTCCATGTTTGGGGCGACACTTAGGGCCATATTGTTTTTCATGTCGCAATGCGTTAAAATCCATCAGTCGATGAGTGCAAACCTATTGAGTAGCCTGACTCTAGGATTAGTAAAGGACTTGCACACATGGACAATGCGCTCGATCGATGCAACTTCAATGATCCCGTGCGTGGCCTCCTTCCGCCCCGGCACCAGTTGGGGGCAAAGTGTCTGGGGACACACCCCCTCTTCCTCGTAATACTTCACGAATACATATGCACCTTCCTCCCCGCTGTAGTTCACCGCCCTGAAAATACAAAGACACCGCGCATACCACCACTCCTCCTCCTCCTCCTCCTCCTCCTCCTCCTCCTCCTCCTCCTCCTCCCTCTCTCCCGGTATTGCAATGTCGGTGAACCAGTTCTCCTTCGGGCTTGCTTTCACGAACATCGCCTTCGGAACCAAGTAGCCCCCTTTCGTGCTAGGGATGGCTACTGCGGTGTGCACCTGCCGGGTATGGGTGGGTTAGCATGAGGACTAACACATTGTACGATGACGCCTCTTCACGTACGTGTCCAACACACAACAGCCCAACATCTTTACAACCGAAGCCATCAGCTTGATTACCGGTTTACTAACATGACACAGCATCTCACCAACACACGTGAAGTCTGAAGGCCTTCCGCGGCCATGAGTGTCGCCATGTTATCAAACTCGTTGCCCACCGTCTCTCTGTACAGCATCCGCAGTGGATCGTCAGCCGTCATGAGACACATGGCCTTGCTTGTGCGGGTCAGCGCGGGCTTCATGCTTCTCACAGCCTGAGAGGTGGGTTGTGAGCACGCATGGGATGAACCGGTGGAGTCATTACACCCTTATCACCTCGCACACCTGCGTGCCTTTAACAAATGCCACCAACACTACACGGCCACGCGTTGTGTACCTCTCGCAGGGTGGTGCAGTAAGTTTTCCCTCCTCCTGACAGCGCCGCAATCTCCCTTGTGATCTTGCGTTGCGTCTCCTCCTCGACAATCCTCCTTGGTATGTCTTTCCAGTTGCTTCCGCGCACGGGGCTCTTCACGGTGCCCTTGTGGGTATGCTCCCACAGCTCCGTGGAATACTCGTGCGGCAAACCCCTCATGGATATGCCGTTGATGAGGTGTACAACTTCGTGTAGCTTCACGAAGTTCCACTTCGACTTCTGCCTCGGGAAAGCCGCCTGCAGTGCAGCCACCAGTCTACACAAAGTTGTATGCACATTGTAGTGCGACCATTGGAAGAATCACCACACTGTACAACATAGCCTCTGGTAGCAACGAAACAAGTGGCCATCGTGTTCACTCACGAGATGCCATGTTGCCTCGCGATGGCGATTGTGAGCCGCGTGTGCTTTGTCACAGCCAGCAGGGACTTGTAGAAGACCGCATAGTAGCGGAAGGCACGAACCTCCTTATCCCTCTGCTCCCTTTCCTCCGCAGAGCGCCCCACACACAGGTCGGAAATGACAATAGGGAAAACCTGCATCATGCCACGATACTCGAACGCCGCGTAATTCGCCCCGCTGCGGAAAAAGGTGGAGCCACCCGGGATGCGCACCAAGACACTCCTTGTCTCGCCCTTCACGCCAAACTTGCGGCTGTTCCACGCACCAATCACACACAAGCAGCGAGATTGGATTGTTCCCGTGGTGAGCTCCGCCATGTACGCACTACCGCATACAAAACGGTTCACAGAATCTCTGTGTACTCACTGATCAAACCCCCAAATCTCGGCCTTCGACTTCCCCTCCATGAAACAGGTGGCCATCTGCACTAGCACCCCAGAATCCAGCACATGGAATATGTCGCCAACAACCGCCAGGAAGACGTTACCCCACTTCGTCTCAGAGAAGTTCCAGCGCTCCAGGACGCTCTGCACGTTGGATGGTGCTGTCAGACTCATCATAAAAAGCAACATCAAGCCGCTACAATCATGGCCGCGGCCATGTGACTTGCCACACACAAACATCGAGCGCGCACCGTGATCGGATGCGTAGACCACCTGGCCTGGATCGCTGCAGCGCCTTCCACCGTCGTAGCGCTCAGTATCTTCGCCGCCGCGTGCCGCTCTCCCTTCACAGTGCGCACTATTGACTTGTTTGACAGGTCATGAAGGTGCCCTTTCTTGATGTAGCAGCTCGAGCACGATCTGTGCGATGCCTGCTGCATCGTTGCTGTGGCACGGCACCCTTCCGGATAGTCGCCAACAAATGCATAGAGGCATGGATATGCCTTGACGACACCTCCCCGGCCGTCAGACACATCGAAGCTTCGAAGAGGACCACTACATGCACCACGTACACGTTTGATGGGTCTCAGAAACCGACAATGACCCCGTTCGCCTCGAACAGGCCTAGAGCATGCATTCGGACCACTTACTCGTGGTTCTCACGCATGAGCGGACCCATCACGATGCGATACGCCTCCTGATACACCCGCGTCTTCTCCGTCGCCGATGCCCACTCCGGCGGAAAAGGGAGCACACCCACTAGCGCATGCCCAGGCTCACGCCACCGTAACTCCTCCGGGACATTGACCAAACCCATCAACATTGGCCATGCCTGTAGGCGTCCGTTCCCCGACGCGTAAGTGCTGTCGCTATACGAGATGACACCCAGCACCATAGAATCCTCCTCCGGCAGTTCCGCCTGACAACGACACAAGGCGACTAACAGAGTCAGACTAACTCACATCAGAGTCCAATGTGACGCTTGGGAACATTTGCCTCTACTTGCCTGCGCCTCTTCCAGCCAAGTCCCTTTGTCGGGGGTACTGAAATGTCTTGTTTCAGCCGTATCTTCTGGATCTCGCCGCGACCGTTTGACAAATCCCCTAACATTCACGAATGTCTTCACCATCTTCTGTGCAATCTGTCCACAAGGAGGCGCGTGAAGCCTGTGTATAGCCAGTGAATAAACAGACATACAATCGCCGACTCTGTGCAGCACCAACCATCAATCCCTCACCAGCTTGGTGTCCTTGTACAGCAGTTCCAGCATCTGACACCTTCCTCCGGGGCCCCGCACCTCAATCTCTGCCTTGAGCCACGGCACCATGTCGTCCGGCGCGTGTTCCTCCCCAAACCGCCTGACGTCGGCGACGTTCTGCCAGCGCCGAACCGCTGCAGGATCGTATTCCGGGTGGTTGAATATGTGCAACACTCTATTTATTTCTCTGTCCGACAAATCAGCGTCCTTGAAGAACAGGTACAGCTCGTTCAAGGTGTTGAACAGGTCGCCAACTGTGGATACAGATCCATCGTCCGACGTCGACACGTACCCGCGCACAAAATCCGCGTGCTCGGGAAACTCTCTCAAATATCTGAACAGCGAGTCGGCGGAGTGGGGGCTGCCCGGGACTGACTCACTGTCCGAATCATGCGGGCTATTTCTCACCTCGGCCAAAGCCTCCGCCAACGCCTCCACCGCCCTACTCTCGAGCCTCTCGAGCAGCGTGTCCCTGCACGTGTCATTGCGATACAGATGGATTCTCAGTAGGTTGTCTGACTCCAGCTCCTGCCCGCACGCCCCGCACCTGTTCCCTGCCATGTGTCTTAATCTGCGCACACACCCAATGGCCGTTCCCTGACTTCCCCTCTAATTCCCATTAGCTAACCATTACCGTCATGCATGTTCTCCACTACACGCATGTAGGAGCTATGCTGTTTTCGAGCCGCGCACGCCCTGCATCCTACCACCGAAACTCCGTACACCGCGTCTCGCGCACCGCAGACCGTTCTATTACTCCAGTTACTACTACTGCATGTTCGGAACATGGGTCTTCCGCCTACGTCACCCCATTATTACAGCTGCTATAATGGCTCGTCAAATACATCGTGTACGCACAAAAGGGCGGAGAGTCCTGGCGGGCGGCCTTATCCGTAGCGAGAAACCCTAACCGTCTGAAATGCATGCGGTAAGACATCCCTTCGTGAAGTATGCAATTGCTTTGTTCAGGCGCGGTGGTTACACCACGACGTGGGAATATTCTCGATACAGCAAAACATAGATCATCAATGTTCGAACCCCGTTTGTCAATTCCGATGGACTATCTCTCATCCTTGTCAGATAT